GAGTCTGTGTTTGTGTAGCCCTTCTGGAGCTTGTTCATGGAGCTGGGTCGGACTGTGGGGAACGTCCACATGGGACACTGGTCTCGGTCATCACTATCGCCATCCCTGTTCAAGTACGAGGAGAAACAGAGGCTATAACTCATGAGGATCCATTCACCAGACATCTAATTAAAAGGACAGGGCTCAAGTAATAAGAAATGAATAATACATCAGGATGAATTAGAGGGCCGTTATTGATCGTAGAGTATGTGCATTATGATGGACAGATGGATGACATACATGTCAGAATCATCAGAGCTCGACTCGTCTCCGTGGCCTTCAGACTTCCAGCGGCGGTATCGGTCAATCAGCTCCGTCAGATAGGAGGTTTTCTTGGTGTAGCGCGTGATGAATTTGTGCTTCAGTAACTCCTTGGCGGTGGGCCGCTGCACATATCCAGAATAGTGATGCTCAATGTTTTTTACCACCTCATGTCAAAAATCTTGAAATGTCTGTCTACAATTAGAGCTTGATCATTTATATTAATAAGTTGTGTGCTATATACAGCTACATTACCAATCAAAAGAATTTTTTTATTTGTTTAAAGTCTCTCATGCCAACCAATGCTGCATATTTATTTGATGAAATATTATTACAAAATTATAGAAAGCTGTTTTCTATTGTCATATATTTTAAAATGCAATTTATTCCAGTGATGGCAAAGCTGAATTTTCAGCATCATTACTCCAGTCTTCAATGTCACATGATCCTTCAGAGACATTTCTTCACTGTTGAAAACAGTTTTTGCTGCTTTACACTTGTGGTAGAATACAATCCAAAAGTTTGGGTTAAAGAAATGAATACAAAAAATACTCACAAAGCGAGGGTCTTTATTGAGGCACGCCTCCACAAACTCTTTGAAGGGTTTGCTGTAGGAGCCCTCCAGCGTCGGGGGAGTGTTCTTGGGAATGAGAAACAGCACTCGCATCGGATGCAGGTCGGAGTTTGGGGGTTCCCCTTTCGCTAGTTCAATAGCTGTAATTCCCAAGGACCAAATATCTGCCTGCAGCCAAAAAAAAAAAAAAAAGCAAACCAAATAGTCTTCATTGGTCTCAACAAGATATTATACAAATATGTATATGATTAGCTGCTACTACGCTAAAATGTAAACTCTGTTAGTGACTGGTTTCCATGCCTACCACTTAAAAAAGAAAGAAAGCTGAATGCTTGGGAACAGTTTTACCACTCCAGCCTTTCTGCCAGAGTGCTGAACGTGTGTTTTCACAGCTCTGCAGACACATTTGGACATTAAAATTCATGTTGTTCTTTTGCACGCTGAGAAAAGAGCGTTTATCTGGATCTCCGCACCTTAAAATCATATGCAGACTGTTTGATGACCTCCGGAGCCATCCAGAAAGGAGTTCCCACAAAAGTGTTTCTCTTGATCTGGGTGTCTGTGAGCTGTCCCGCCACCCCGAAGTCTGCCAGCTTCACATCCCCCTGCTCAGACAGCAGCACGTTGGCAGCTACCACAAGACACAGCATGAATCATCAGCACAGAGTTCAGATTTCACACAAAGCAAACGATTGAATCTGAAGCCATTCCTAGCCGGCCTGATTCGAGTAGGCAGACGTGCGTGTTATCACACCTTTGATATCACGGTGGATCTTCCTTTCCGAATGCAAGTATTCCAGTCCCTTCAAAATCTCCCTCAGTATAGTGGCGATGTACGTCTCCTCTAGCGGTCCTGGTTTCAACTGAGACGTGCGGAGGAAAGTAGAAGACATTATATTTATAATATAAGTCAAAAGGCTCTTATGATCCCATGAAAACGTTCCCATAACTGAAGAGCGACTGTTGTTCTACTTACAAGATCTAAAGCAGAGCCACCTCCTAAATACTCCATGATGATCCACAGCTTTGTTCCCTATAGATAAGGGCAAAAAAACAAGCACAATTTCTTCAAGTGTCACATGACATTTGTTGTATTTCAATATGACTCCATTAGGTATTTTATCATGTGGCTTAAAACATTGGCCTTCAACATCCATGGGACCATTTTCATTGCACAACAGCAGAAAATGTGATTCAGAGTAAGAAAATATGGTTCTTTGACCTTTAACTCTAGAGTAAAGTGTTTTTGGAGTGCCCAAAATTGTTGTAAAAAAAACATTTTAAGATTGAAGGTGCAGAAGAATTCGTCTGAAAGCAAGATAGATCTGGTATTTTGCATTTATTTCAACATAAAAAAAAGTAATTCCAATTGAAATTTTAAATTAAAGAAAATATAGGGCGTGATTGGGAAAAAATTGATTTGACAGTGAACATTACTAACTAAAAGTGAGTTTGCAAAGGGCTCAATGTTTGCAGATGCAGTTATTTCACCATTGAGCAACAAGGAGCATATTTTAGCTTTTGTCAGCACATTTAAATTGATATTGGGGATTTTTTTCAAGCAACACTGAATCCAAAATATTTCAGGATATTTTAGAAGATTGTGTGTAAAGGGGGATGCAAATCAGCAATGTCATGACATCATTAGTAACATGACATATTTCGGTTAAGGTGATGGCAAGAATATCCAGGAGTAAATATAGCACATTTAAAAATTGCCCATACTAGACAAGTGCAATTGAGACGAACAGGAAATGCTAACACATATCTCTATCCAGGTATTACACAGATCTCCTTGCAGTTTGTAGAAACCTAGCAAGTTGGCCATTGGTTAACATAACTTTTACATGGTGACAGCGGAGGAGGAAAGTTATTTCAGAAGAAGAACTAGGTATTAGATTTTGTAAAAAGTTGTTTTCTTTGGAATAATGCATTGATAAATCATGTCAACATGCATTAAGAAAGTGATTTCATGTTGATATTAAAAGATGCTGTAATGACATACAAAAAAACCTCTTACTATTGTTTGTCTGTACACGCCTGAGATCCCAAACAATGGGAGAGTGTACCTTCAGATATGAGCCATAGTATTTGGTGACATAGGGGCTGTCACACTGGCTGAGCACCGTGATCTCCTGCTGAATGTCCTCGATCTCATCTTCCGCCTCCTCCAGGTCGATGATCTTGATGGCCACCACCTCTTTAGTGCGATTGTTGATGCCCTTGTAGACCTCACCAAAAGACCCCTTCCCAATGCGCTCTTGCTTTGTGAAATACTCCTCCGGGTCAAGCCGGGAATTCTGTGTGAGAGAAACAGTAGAGTTGTGCTATGAGATTCAATGAAAGGTGTAGAAGAAAATCAGTGAGCATTTACTAGTAATGGACTACATTCATACATCCTTTAGGATGCTCTACTATGAGCAACATAGGCACCATTTACATATATATAATAAGATTTACAATTTAAATTAAATGACACCGATATTACATGAAATGTGACCAAAACAAAACAAAAAACAGACGTTTCAAAGCATCTACATTAAAATAGTTACCCAGACTCAATAGCATAACGCCAAGACAGCCCTCAATTTGTCAATTACTCTAAATCGAGGCATGTCATGACATGACATGACAGGCTTACTAAACATCACTGTGGTTTTACTGATTATGAGATTAACAGTCCTGATGATGAACAGACTCGACTGGGCAAAGGATTTACCTGGTTCTGCATGTCGCGGAGGTGCGCCATCCTAACACTAACAGCAGGTCGGTGTGTGGATGAGAGCAGATGTAGCCCTTACTGCCAAAGGAGGGGTGCTGTAAAACTCTTCCAAGGCTTTGCTGTTCCTCCTCCGATCCCCTGCTTAGCCAGCTAGCTTTTACATAGAAAAACACCTCTGCATGTCCTGTTCGCCTGCTGTGTTTTCGGCCTCCAATCCCCTGATGGCGGATCCCGCAGGCTGGCGAGAATGACAGTTAAGTGTCGTGTGACTCCATGTATGAAAGTATCTGCGTACGAGAAAAACGCTTTCCGCTTCTAATTGTTTTTGTATTGATCAAAGCACGTTCCGGCGACTCTTCATTTATTGCTTGCGGGAGAACAAAAATAATAGGAGCCAAAGCGCATGCGCAGCCTCTGATTCAGGAATTGTGGGAGTTGTAGTTATAACTTACCGTCAGCAGGGACAGAATTTAAAGGGTTAGTTCGGTTTTGTATTAAGATCGTTTCTGATTAAATAGAACGGTTAAGATTGAAATTTGGACAAATGCTGCTGTCCCGAGAAGTTTAGGTTTCTGTGTTAGCACCCCCCACCTACACAATGGTTGTCTATGTGCACTGGAATAATCATTCATAAAAAAATCGTTGCAAAAGATGCTTCCAACAGGTTTTTATCGTAGTTTTTGTACAACCATTGTGTAGGTGGGTGGTGCTAACACAGAAACCTAAAATTTTCGGGAGAGCAACATTTGTCCAAATTGATAGTAGTCTAAAATAGTGCTGGCCTGGGCGGTATACCGGTTCTTACTGAAAACCGGTGTATATTTTTGTTATCATATTAATTTTTAATGTACCGCCATACTGTATTTCATTCTCTGCGTTAAAAAAAATAATGAAGTGCACAGGTCATCATTTCTAATATACACTACAATATTAAAGAAGATTTGTCAAATTTGATTTCATCTCGACTTTAACAGTATTTAATGTGATTGCATAAATATTTTATGTTCGACAAATACAGTACAAATAGTCTACAGAACTTGGTGCATGAGCAGGATAAACCAAACAGTCTATGAATTATTGTTGCCATTAATTTAATATCAAATGTCGGTCAAAACAAGCAGTTTTGTTACACTGAATCCACACAAGAAGACTTTTTCTCAGTCAGATGACATTATTTTAGTTGTAGTGGCATGCAGTGAATGAGAGTGATAATGATGGATGCAATGAATGAAAGTGACATCTGTAAACTTGACTTGCCTTTGAACTGTCATACATTTTAACTGTCTTCTGGGAATACCACTTTGTGAAATATGACTATCAGATAAACATATGCACACACACACACACACACACACACACACACACACACACACTGAGGTCTATTCACGAGTCATTCACAGGGAGTTAAACTGTTGTGTTGGTTTGTAGTGAGAGGATTAGCTCGCTAAACATAGACAGATAATAATTTAGCCTACACGGTCACCACTAGAGAAAAGCATGAATGAACTTCCCACTGATCCTTAGGGAAGAATCATTATATGAAATAAGCATTTTATGGGAAGCCTTCACGCCTGGGTCTGTTTGATAAAAAGTCTCCTCTTTTAATACGAGTGTGATTTTTACCAAATTAATATTAATGTTGCATATTATTGTATGAATTGATAAGTGAGCAAGGATTTGAAGGAGTTGATATTAATTTATATAGTAGCCTAGTTCCATGATGGACTAAAAGCACTGTGAGCCGTGCCAGGATGCCATTTATATTTGGACTAAGCCGTTCACTTGGTTGATTAGTGGTTACCTAAGCGTTCCAGGTAGAGAGCACAATCGCTTCCAAGTGGGCACAAACGAACAGCAAGCAACCTCGGACAGGACGATGTATAACTGAAAGTCCATTTCAACATTGTAGTTTGTCGTGCGAAACATGGAAGAGACATTGGAGATGAGAAATGATAAAATCGGTAAGCGGAGCGGAAGTTGGTCGATTGATCAATTTGTTAGCTAGGGAATTTAGTTTGGGTTGCTGATTTGTTTTTCCTGATTGGTTCTTGGCGTTTCGGCGAACCTGTTTCATATTTAATGTGTCTAAACTTTCGTCGTAGAAATGCGCTCCGTATTGTTAGTGGAGTCTGTGGGGTGTTTATGTAGGTTACCTGTCCAGTGAACACAGCTCTTGCCAAACAAACATGCGGGACATGAGCGTGTTCGAGCGGTCCACCGTGACCGTGTTCGGCGCGGAGATGAAGATGTTTGATCGGACTCACACGGAAAAAGAGCTCGTTTCTCAGTCTATGGAACTTTGTAGAGACTTTATCCACTCCAGAATCATAAGGGAAGGATTCAGCTGGTCAAAAATTGAGCCAGATCTGCCGGAGCCACACGGTGCTCTTATAGATGTATCTGTGGTGCTTCTAAAACTGGGTAAGAGAACCAGGAGTGAGTGTGAACTGATGCTCGTAACAGGTGTGATGATATGCAGTATTTTTATCATCTCTCATAACAATATGTGAAAATCCTCTTTCTTTCTTTCTTTCTTTCTTTCTTTCTTTCTTTCTTTCTTTCTTTCTTTCTTTCTTTCTTTCTTTCTTTCTTTCTTTCTTTGTGATTTATAACTAGAGTGTATCAAGGCTATATGATACTTGTATCAAGGGCAAGGCTGATATGATCAATAAATTATGCCAACACATGTCCCTCTCAGTGTGTATACCGGACATTTTACAGGTTTTGCTTTGTTTTACAGGTGATGAACTGGAGTGTATGCGGCCATATGTGTATTGTAATATCGCAAAGCAGCTGAACATCTGTGTAGCAGTCGAAGCTGTGGTTTCAGATGCATTTCTCTCTGTAGCAACAGAGATCATATCCAAGGGTAAGTGAGCTTGAAGACAAATAACAGGTGTTTCATAGGCAGTGTTTGTGGTCATGACCTTTTTATCTTCAAATATTTCATGCTTTTTAAAATCGGCACGAAATATTGTCCATCCACAATTGTGCCGAGAAACATGTCAGAAGAGATGTCATTTCAAGTTTAAGTTATTTTGATTAAAGTTTACGAGGGCATGTGAATTAAAAACTGTATTATATTTTTGTTATTATTATTATTATTAATACATTACTATTATTATATTCTGTACATAATTGACAATTGAGGCTGTTTTGGGAACAAAAACAAACTGCAACACTGCATATGAGGGCATCTTCTTTACTATAAATGGAGGGAATTCGGAGATTGTGGGTTTTGTTCCAAATGTAAATGAAGCAATGTTAGCCTGAGCAGAATTTGAGCATTAAAAAAGAGTTCAGGACATTAATTTCATTATGTTTGTTTTTATTAAGTTACAGTAAAATTGTCTTTACTGGAAGAGCGATTGACTTCAACCTATTATTGGATTTCAGTAGTGTGTTTGAGAGGGCCATCTCTTGTGGTTTAATGTCAAGTTCTTCAGTGGTCTTTTTTCGGAACATGGAAAAACCCCTAAAAAGGACATACCCACATTCTTCTCTTTGTACATATTTGGTCACATATTTTATCTTGGTTCTGCTTCTTCTCGATGTACATGGTGGTTAGTGATTGACTCCAAAACCATGGCAACGTCATTCTACTCTGCCTGACAATCTTCTCACAACCTATCTTCTATAGTAAGATACAGATCTGAGGAATTATCTTAAATGAATGCTGAAGATGTAATGTAAACAACTGGCATACTCCCTGACTCTTGGCTCATCATTAGTGAAGCACGACAGTGAGTTAATGCTGAGACTTAATGCTTTTAGCCTTCCTGTTACATCATCAACTACATAGCTCTGCTGTGCTGAATAGATTTTCAAGGAAACTAATCTAAACTGTTAGATGCTGTTTTAGATCTGGCTCTGTTTTTCATTAGGATGGAAAGTCTTTGTTGTAAGTTTTAAACAGTAATTGGAGGTTGCCATGTCTAAAATAACTACAACATGCTTTAAGGTACTATTTATCAATTCAAATGTCCTCTGAAGACACTTTTGATTGAAAGAGCATGAATATTTTGTGGAGAAAAAAATGGTTTGATTTCTTTTGCGATACATTGACATTTCATTTGCATTAGATATGAGCAAATCTAGGACTTGCTGATTCTTTACTGAATTCTCATTATAAACTGTTGTTAATATTAGTTTGGAATTTAATTTCTAAAACGCTAGTATGATTAATGCTCATAGCTCAGTAGTAGCCCACTAGTTCTGCTCACAGAATTGCTTTTACTTTCAAGGGATCACATGGGGCAAAGTGGTGGCCATCTACGCTGTAGCTGCTGGGCTGGCAGTGGACTGTGTGCGACAGGGCCATCCAGTCATGGTGCACACTATTGTGGACAGTCTGGGTGAATTTGTACGCAGGAGCCTGGTCCCGTGGCTCAGAAAGAGGGGAGGATGGGTACGTGTTCATTCTCTGTACTGCCTTCTGCATGAAAGATTGAAAGATTGATCCTGACCTCTAGAGGCCATATGAGGAAATGAAGTATTGCTACCCACCTGTGGCCATTCTGTTAAAAGCGCATCTAATTATTTTATTTGTGCCAGAGCATTGCATACTATACTACACACTACTGTTCAAAAGTTTGGGATCTGTAACCCTAATTAAAAAAAAATATTCAGTTATTCAGCAAGAATAATGTTGCAAAAGATTTCTGTTTTAAATAAATTCCTCAAAGATTCCTGAATTAATGCATCATGGTTTCCAAATCAAGTTAAGTCAAGTATATTTATATAGCGCTTTTCACAATATAGATTGCATCAAAGCAGCTTCACAGTATCAATCAAAACATAATAACAATGTTTGTTTCTTAGCGGGGAAAAAAAGCATCCAAGTTTGGTAGAGCTGATCAATGGTATTAATGATTGGTTAATTAATTTGAATAAACAAAAATATTAAATGGCACAACTGTTTTCAACATTGATAATAAGAAATGTTTCTTGAGCAATAAATCGGCATATTAGAATGATTTCTGAAGGATCATGTGACACCGAAGACTGGAGTATTGATCATTAAAATGTAGCTTTACCATCACAGGAATAATTTAAATTTTAACATATTTATAAAATAGAAAAGATATTTTATATTTTAATAATGTTACCGTTTTACTGTATTTTTGATCAAATAAAGACAGCCTTGATGGACATTAGATTTTTTTTTTACAAAACATTAAAACAATCTTACTGACCCTAAACTTTTGAATGGTATAGTGTATGGAATAGCATATCTAATGACAATGCTTCTTTTCATCTTTCATTCCAGGGGGACATTTCAAAATGCGTGGTGAACATAGACTCTAAAGCTCAAGCCCATTGGTTATCAACAGCTGTGTTAACATGGAAGGAATTCGTAAAGACCATGTACATCTACCTGACGAAGTAGCCTTCTGCAGGAAGTCATCCTGTTAACTGAGAACTGAATCTTTCCATCCCAGAACTATTTGAATGAACCATTGTACTGTTTGTGAAGCCCTGAGGAGCAAACGGACCATCACAAAGGTTATAGCACGTCACCCAGGTTTAACTGCACCTTAATTATCTTTTACTTTTTATTATTTCTTTAAAGTACTTTTCCTTAAAATCCTAGAGTGAAAGAAATACTATGAGCTAATATTGTGTAGAGGGGATGTTACTGCTATATTCATTGGTGGATCTACATAATGTCTGTCTTCCTTAGTTTAAAATGACCCTGAAATAAGGTCTGCTGGTAAAGGAGCTCCTTTTGAGCTGAAGATGCATTGCATGGATTCATTCTACTGAGATTTTTATACTCAATAACTGTGGCATAAGTGAAACTTTTTTAAATGTTTGACAGTGTTCAGATTTTTTTTTATTTTGACAAAACTACTTAAGATGTTTGGAGTGACACTTTGCACTTTCGGTTTATACAGTTTGTGTGGTGTGTGTGTAACACTGTTGTCACCAGCTGTATACATATTTAAATAAAGATTGTAATGTGGGCACTAGAGAAACTCGAAGTTTTTACACAGAGTTGGTTTCAGCAGTCATGGAAAACCTGGAAAATAATTTTGTGCCCAGGAACTAATAAAGTCACAAAATACCATTTTACATTCACTTGATTGGTAAAATTGGATTTGGTTAATTTGTTTTTGAAAGAATAATGCTCACAAAGGCTGCATCAAAAATAAAGTAAAACAATTAAATTATTATTCAAATATAAAAAAACTTGTCTATTTTATTAAAATTTAATATGTCATTTATTCCTGAGATGGAAAAGCTGCATCATTAAATTTTCAGCATCATTACTCCAGTCTCCAATGTCACATGATCTTTCAGAAATCATTCTGAAATGCTAATTGTTCAAGAAACTATTATTATTATCAATAACGAAAACAGTTATGTAATTGTGATAGGTTTTTTTCCCAGGATTCTTTCATGAAAATAAAGTTAAACGGAACAGTATTTATTTGAATTAGACATATTTTGTAACGTTATAAATGTCTTTACTGTCACTTTTGATTAAATAAATGCATCCCTGTTGAATGATGGTATTACTTTCTTTCAAAAAAATTAACAACCCCAAACATTTGAACGATATTACAGAGTGGATGTTTTTATTGACCTTATCATTGTAAGTGCAATCTCTATTAACTGAATTCTTTAAATTATTCGCCATTTGTTCATGATTAGTGGGAATGTCATGACAATTCATCACAAGGCAACGAGTCTATAAGCGAACTAATGAATCCCCATGAATTACCATTAAACGTATGAAAGAAGATGTTTAGTGTTAAGTTTTACTGGAGAGAAAATGTATGTGATGTGACATATTTTGATTATTATTCAATTTGTAAACTTAATCTTATGGAAATAGATGTTATAACGTACAGCATTTTCTTCAGAGACAAACTTTGCCACGAACTACCTCTAAACAATTTAAATTTGTAAAGAGACGTTTTTACATTTATTTTTTTATACTGTGGTTACATTATACCCCTTTATTTATTGTAACAATATTTTCAAAGCTTTTTTTATTGGTAAGACAGGTCAGATCACATCTATTACTTTAAGATAACATTCTTAGTCACAAATATATTGCCAACACCTGCAGGTTGCTATATATAAACCATCAATATTTTAGGTCAGATGGGTACATTACTTCCATGTGCTTTTCAGAAATACATCTTCCTCCCATGTGACAGATAGTTAATCAGTCCTGCGGTAAGTGATGTGCAAATGCTGCGTCAGTGGCTGTCCTTCCAGTGCCATGGAGACGGTCTGTTCCAGCCTTCCATCCGGCTTCAACTGGATGTGCCTGGAGATCTGATAAAAAAATTCTAAGTCGAACATTTGCTTGAATAAATACACTAGTTCAGCACAATTCATGCCACATTTTCTGTATAAAAATATAGCTCCATTCGAGTTTATTGTTTCATTGACCTAACAAGGCACAAGACAATCAGTTTGATTCATGAGACCTGTTGAACATGAGGCTGCTTGGCAAAAGATGTTCTAGCCAGGGCAGCACTGTGGAGAGTCATCTGCTGTCCAGTGAGTTCCCCCTCCTCAATCTCCACAAGACCTGAGAGAGGTATAAACAATTTAAAAAAGAAAAAGAAAAGATATGCCATAATACAGATGAACCTATCTGATAAACGTTTTTATGAATCAGAAACCTGAGTTCTGGGCAATGATAAAAGCCACCCTGTTGGTGCCCGGCTGAAGCCTGATGAATCCACACTCCCTGTGAAGAGGCCTTTTGCTCTCAGCATGGAATGCATTAAACCTGAGGAAAAAGTTCACAACTTTCTGAATGTCTGCACTACATTCTGAGTTGCATAAACAATAACTCTGGTTTATTTTGTTACTTACATGAAATTGATCACGGGCTGTCCCACATGCGAGAAATGAAGAGTCTCTGTGTAACGAAAAGCTGCGATGGAGGGGAAGGAGCCCTCTCCTGGCTCATCGGACTGCCAGGTTCCCAGGAGCCAGTCCAGCGGCAGCACTGCGGGGTTCAGCTCCGCTGCGGAAACACAGGCTGCGGGTTAAATCAGATCGAAGAGCGCTTATCCGTGATTATAAAATTATGTTCACGGACACGGTCACATTCTGATGCATTGATTCATTTTAATGATAACAAAATTGATGTTTGATCTACAGACGACAGCTCGGAAATAATAAGCCATTAGAAATAAGACAAAAATCAGGTGTCTATTCATTTAAATGTATTCGTCATGTTGTCCTACCAGTGTGATTAAATGGGCATGACATTCCGCTTGAATAATTTCAAATAACTTACAATATTAACTGTATAATTGACACTAAATGTATTACTCGCTGCGGCTGCTTAACTATTATCTGTTTGCCATCACAGTCCGTATCTACTTCCTGATTAGACACTAAGAACTCTGGGAGATGTAGTTATTAGGCGTTCTGGTGATGACGCGAAATCAAGCTACGGAATCAAGTAGCCTACGAGTACGAAGACGGGAGAAAACATTTCCTCCACAACGCATTTCATATAGCACAATACGAATTAGTGTATATTTACATATTATATAAAAGTAATACAGTTTGATACAGACTCGTCTGCAAATAGCTGATATTGTAAAAAAAATAATATATATATATATATATATATATATTATTTTTTTACAATATCATTATATATGCATTAATGAATGAAATGACTTACCAATAAACGGAGCTGTCAAGGTAAAATGTACAAATATATATAGCGAGATTAAAAACCTTTTATTTACCTTAATTTGTACTTTTAATTTTAAAATTTTGTAATTTACTATTATTATTATTTTTTTTTTTACTTTGCGGGGTGGTGACAAGGTTTCTTCGTGAAAGAAAATAAAATATTTAAATAAAAGAAAAGAAAACAAAGCTGTTTATGTGTTGTTTATAGAAGGAAAATATGTACAGCACAAAGCAAAACAGTAATTTAATACATATACATTTATCAAACTGTGAGAATCCAATATAACAGATACACAATTGAAAAAAAATATTCATGCTGTCACAGTGGACAGCTATTCAAAAATATTTTTCTTGCATTTGCATGGGTTTTGATGGCATAGTTGCACGTTGCACATCAACTACAGTGGACCTTGGTGCATCATCCTGACCTTGTAAACCCACATTGCTACCAAGTGGTAAGCCATTGTGTGTGGATTTTTTCCCCCTCCAAATCAAGATGGCCAATGGCCACACAAAACCATAAAACGGCTTGTAATAATGAGTCATAAAATCTGTAGTTTACCTCATCATGGCTATATTTCAGCTGCAATTCAATTATTACTGTGACTGTTATTTTAATCTGCAGTAACTTTTTGACTGTAAATAAACATTTTATTTGAATGTAATTTGCATTGGCATAAAAGTAATGTGAATAAACTTGTAATGCATCACTTTACTCATTACATCAAAAAGTCATCTGATTACGTAATGCACGTTAATGCATCAATGTTTGGGCTGCACGATGCGTTTTAGGGGAATTTTTTTTTTCTTCCAAAAATCCTTGCAAGCCAATTACATAGGTTTTCAGCACTTCGCACTCGCACTTCGTTATTTTGCCACGGACCACTTTCCAAATGACCCTGTTGTAGCAGCCAACCAAATACAAAATTTCAACATAATTAAAAAGCAACGGCAACAAGCGTTCCTCTTGATTTCAAAAACAAAACATTTTAGCGCTAGATCTCTTATTTAAACGAACTAAATTAATGCTCTGCTTAACAGGATATGATTTATTCATGTTTCCCGCCCCCCCTCTCACAAAATAGTTCCAACGTCCCTGTGAGTGAGTCAGTTCAAACCCCTCGAAGTCATCATGGCTACTGGTGTTGGTGAGATTCTCCGACGTTTAAGACAAAGCCACGTGAAAGATGAAGAAACTACACCCGGAGAGGCTCAGAAAGGGCGTCCTCAAGGTGCAAGAAGGTAGACAGCTGAGTTATTTATAAACGTGTTTTGGGCTACTCCTTCAGAATAGACTGAATGCATATTTTCCATTTGGCATAGGCGGAGCGATCGTAACACCTCCTCGACGCAACCAGAGCCAGGTCAAACTTTGTCTGTGTTTGAACAGTGCGGAAATTACATCGAGAGGCAAGTTAATCAATATTTTACACATTCCCCCAGTTTCACAGACAACCCAGTCCCAGATTAAAATGCGTTTGAGTTTTTTTAAGGGGACCTTTGAACTTATGTGCCTTTTTACAGGTCTCCTCCTGTTCGAACTCGCTCAAAATGAACGAATCTTTTCCCGAGTCAATTCGTTCATTTCGTTCGTTGAATGAACCAAATGACACGAAAAAAGATTCGTTCATTTTGATAAACGAGTTCGGACAGGAGAGTCACGAACGTGCATCACAGAACAGAGCAAGGCGACCATTTGAGCTTATAAAACTTAAACTTTGTTATTTTTTTTAAAATGAGCGATCGTTTTGCTTGATAAGACCCTTATTCATTGCCTGGAATTGTTTAAAGCCCTTTAACAGTTTGCACTGAAACTGTCTTTTGGACAATGAACCGTTTGTTGCCCAGTAAAGTGCATTAAATGGAGAAAAATCCTAGAATGTTTTCATCAAAAACCTTTCTTTTTGACTGAAGAAAGAATAACATGGATATTTTGGATGACACGGGGTGAGTAAATTATCAGCAGCATTTTTTTTAAAAAGTGAACTACTCCTTTAAAGGGATAGTTCACTTTGAAATACATTTTTTATATGTTTTAGCTTACCTCAAGGGCATCCAAGATGTAGGTGTCTTTGTTTCCACAGTATTTTCAATTTTGATATTTTTCGGTCAAACCGTAGTCAAAATTAAACCTGATTTAATGACTCGTAAATGTAAGTACACATTGATGGCCTAAGACACGAAACGAGCGGTTTGTGTGAAAAAACAAACAGTATTTATATCGTTTTTACCTCGTGTAACTACAGCCATGTCCAACTGATCTGAAAAATATTTAAAAAAAAAAAATCAAAATTGAAAATACTATGGAAACAAAGACACCTACATCTTGGATGCCCTTGAGGTAAGCTAAAACGTATCAAAAAATAATTTCAAAGTGAACAATCCCTTTAAATGCTCTATCAAGGAGATATACATGGAGGGCTATACAGCTCACTTAGCAGATGTGGGAGAGGCCATAACATTTTGACATCACAAAAGCTACAATCTGCAAACGGCTTGTTCTGAGACACTGCTTATGATTTATGGGGATTAAAAAAAGAGTTAGTGGATTTTTACCATTATTGGGTGGCTGTACACACACTGCCGACACGTTTATGTTCAAACGCCATGTAAAAGTGAGTTTTTATTGCATGCCAGTCTTCATCATAATAAAAGCTGCACTATTCCTTATCTGTCCAGGTTGCCTTCTGAGATAATCCTGAAGATTTGTTCTTTTCTGGATGCCTTCTCTCTGTTGAATATCGGCTTTGTCAACAAGCGGTTTCATGATCTGGCTAACAGCAAGTGTGTTCATGATAAAGAATTCGAATAAGGAATAATATATATTAACATATATGTCCAGTGCTCTGTGGTCTGTGTTGTATGCTTCTCAGATTAAAAAGAAAAAGTGGAGACCCAAAGGAAGCATGATGACAGGAGCCTTGAGCAGCACAAGTGTGGAAGAGAAACCTGCGGGATACTGGAAGAAGCTCCTACTCAAGGAGATGGCTGGTTACAATGACACCATGTGGAAAACAGAGCTAAGACACATGAACCCGCACACGGGCATGCCAGCTCTAACAGAGCAGGTTATCAGGTAGGAAATAGGTACTCACTGCCTTTCTTAGAACAAAATCTTTTGAGACCACAAATGCATGTTTGTTAACCTGCATAACATATATTTAATACTACCTATAACTAAAGCAGACCCCAAAAGTAACTGAGGACTTTAGCCACACCTAAACTGTATGAATGGCTCAAAATATCAAACCAAGTAGGGAAAAAATAGCACAAACACACATTAAGGAAAGCAGTTATGAAACAACAACTTAAAGTTGTTTACTTACTTATTTAAAGTTTAGTCGTGATTGAGTAATATATATTTTTTCCAATTAGTACTGATGTTTTAAAAAAAAAAATTGTAATATGTTACAAAATATGAAACCGGAAGTGAGTGTGAGAGAGATCCCGAAGGAGTGTGGCAAATTACAGACCGTAAACCCTTGAGACAGAGAGACACCAAGATATCGAATCATAAACGCATTAAAGCTCGATAACACAAAAATATTTGCATATATTTTTCTCTTATGTTGTTGAACAAGGCTGCATGAGTGAGCGGCCTCGTGTCGTGTGAGTTCCATCGGAGCGTCACGTGGTCTGCAGATGGTCTGGAGCGTGTACTTTCAACGAAGGCTTAAAGGTCTTTGACTTAAGTTGCCAAAGAAACAATTCAGGCTAAGTTCATTTCCTCGTCTGTGGAAATAAACAAAGTAGAATACGAAAAGGAAAAACAAAACTTAGACAAACAAAGACAAGATCCCCAGGAGAGGAGATCACGAAAGAGTCACATGATGAAGCGCCACCCGAAGAAAGGAAGAAAAGAGAGTTTGCAAACACGAGATATTGACTTTTAAAAGTAAAGAGTTCACGCCTCCTTTGGGAGGAACCAACCATTGAGACTTTTGGTGCAAGTCAGTTTTCTTTGTCTTGTCAAGGCTTGTTCATTTGCATGTTTTATGACAAGGGTGGTCATGACATGCATCATTTCTACTTTCAAGAATGGAAAGTATAGTGTAATACAATTGTATTATAACCTAAGATGCATTTTTGACTGGAGGAGGACGCAAGTATTCCAATGATACCAAGCGAGGCGTGCAAACAAGAAACGAAAGCAAGGTTACATTCAAATGCATGAATATAGGCATTCAGAGTTTGTCACATCTAGATAAGTCATTATTATGCTAAAATGACAATAAAACGCATGGATATGCAGGAATATATCGTATTCTTTTCAGAATTAGTCAAGTTACAGATTTCATTGAAGGAATGTCTGTTTATGTGTGTGCTTTTTGGTGTGAGCTTTCTGGCCGAACTCTTTAAGGCTGAAACCCCTGGCTGTGTGTGTGTGTGGTGTACACAATGTTCCTTATTGCCGGAAAGGGGGAAAGTTTTGAGGTGATAACCTCTGTGTGAAGCTGGTGATTGCTGGTTTTATGGGTGTTTTTGCTTTGACTCACGTTCACTATGAAAGTGTCAATGAATGCCATTAGGAACAGACCTCCTGGCACTTGCTGGTGAATTACTAGTCGCGAGTCAAAGGTTAAAAGCTTTTCAACTGTAGATTTGAATGAGTCCCAACTGACACAGCCCACATACCCTGTATACCAAGTTGTGTGGACATTATCTTTGGCCAGGCGGTCATAAAAAGAAATTATAATCACATGCAAAAACAAGAGAGAACCAATGAAATATAAATAAGTGATTATGTTGTAGTCAGTGTATGACTTATTGACAATTTTGACAATTAATTTTTTATTTTTGTATAGTAAAATAAAAAATTGTAGCTGTAGTTTGGCGCCTTTTTGTCTAAATGGTCAGTCATTTAATTTCATTGTTTTTTCTTCATTTATTTCCTTTGTTTTTGAATACCTCATATAACATATTTAAACATTTAAAACATATATCTACATCTTTGGTTGTTTTTTCTTACAGGAGATTACACATTCAGTGGGAGATCACACTCATAAATAAGGATGGACGTGAAAGTGTCTATAAGCAGACGCACACTTTCTTTGAAGATTCATCTGTTACGGTGTACTGGAACTGTGGTTTCTGGCCAAACATGAGCAGTCTTATTGGCCTACAGATTCATGGAATGTGTCCAGCTCTACCAGCTTCAAGAGACAAGTAAGGAACACAGCTGAAAAATCTGAAGCATGCATACGCTCATACATTCTTATCCTCATCTGACTAATGCCTTTTATGTGTAGGCCAAGGTGGCGCTCTTTGATTCAAAAGACAAGTTTAAATAAAAGTGTACACTGGTCATTCCTTGGTGCTGACAAGCTTGTGAAGTTGCTGCGCTTTAATAATGGGATCCTTGTCGGAGTCTGGCGGGTATGTTGATTTATTTAGCAGTTCAGATATTTTCAATAAATTAGGGATGCACAATTTAGTACTGTATTTCTGTACCATATGTATATATATATATATATATATATTTATGCATTTCCTATTTTACATTTAGATGGCATCATCTAAGCCCACTTAAAGGTAATTGTTGAAATACTGATAATAGAGCTGCACAATTTAACTTTAAATTTAAACAAAAGCTTGTGAACTTCATTCAAACATTCTTCATTCTTGCGATCTTATGCGACCTTATTAAATCTTAAACGCGACCCTATTAAATCTTTGACAAGTACGATCACAGCACAATATGAATATGTGTTGCCGGTTCCACTAACCCAGAGAAAACAGTTGTCATGTTTAGTTATGAAACAGCTTCACAAACAAACCACACAGTATCATTATTTGTGTTACAATAATCAATAATTCATATATTGTATGATTGTATTAAATCATTCATTCAAACAGTTTTTTTTTTTTTAATTTTCTTTAATCGATTAGAATTAAAAACATTTTTTAAATAGACATCAACATTTTGTCAGTTCCTAGTAAATGGCAAGTTATTTTGTGTAGTTGTCCATTCAATATCATGGGAGAATAGAGTTCTCTATTTTAAACAAAATTTCCAGAATTGTGTAGCTTTAACTTATTTAATAAGACAAGCAAATCTAAAAATGTATGTCCATTATTCATATTGTACCTTTTTGATGTTGTGATGCCTATCGTATATACTTGCAGCATTAAAACTAAAATCAGTCACTTAGACAAAATAGTGTAGTGTATTTGAATATCAGTCATTATCAGACATGAAAATAATTATTTATTGGCTGATTGGTGCATCCCTAATATAAATTATTCAGATTTATTTTCTTTTAGATAATAAACTTTTTATCTATGTTGTTTTTATTTTATGTTCATTGGTGGTGTTTGTAGGGCAATTGGAAAATTGCCTTTGTCATGATCAACCTGCACTTCCACAAACTGATTGAAAGGAGTCTCCTTGGGTCAACATTTTGGTACTGAACTCTTAATGAGCATTAGGGTTATTTAGTATGCTTCTGAAGTTGATAGCGTATAGTCCCTTAACATGTAAAGTTTGTTCGTTCACATCAATAGTCCCTACATCCCCACGGAGGACACTGCTCTGGACTCTGACAGTGGACAACATGGATACACCCTGCACATTGTGCTTCACAATCCACTTCAGCGAATCATGTGTCAGCGCTTTTCCCCACTTTACATCACCAGAGGTAAATGTATAACTATTTTTTTGTAATAAAATGAATAGAATTTTAAAAACATTTTGATATTTAAATAATATAATATCATTTTAATGTTTTATATAATAAATAATCATCATGTTTCACCACTAAAACATAAAATGGATCATTAAATATTATTTTCAATAATATTTTTATATATTTCTAATTTTTCTTTAAATCACACCATTTTATGGTCACGCATTTAATTTCATTGTTTCCTTTCATTTCATTTCTTTTGTTTTGGAGTGTCTCATCTAGCCATAACAAAGGCGTATATTGACGAAAACCCAGTTTTACTTTCTTTTTTCGTAGTCTAATGTGCAACTCAACTTCACTAAACAAATTTATTTTCAACTAATTATCTACATTTTGATATTTAAATAAGATGAAATGAATAATACGAGTGTCTGGCTGGACGTTTGTTCTTGTGCTTTACAGTGCCGAATCAAATGGACTATGTGCAGTTGATCGCCATTGATTTGGCTGATGTGCCTCAGCACAAGCCTGTGGCAAAGATCAGTGTCCCATGGGAAGCAGAGGGATTGCGGGGAAATGTTGAGGTACCTATGATTGATTGCTAATTCTTACACTCAAGACTGTGCTTGCATGCTATTCTTTGGAAACTGACTATAAAGAGATAGTTAACTATCATGGTGTGTGTGAATGGATGGTGTGTATGCATTGTAATAGATAAGTGTGCACTGTTTTTTATTTTGTAGATTTCTTTTTTATCAAAGAATTAATGTTTACTTGCTCCACCCATCTAGCGTTGCTGTATGATGACTTTGACAGTTCTGGATGAGGCTCAGCGTCCCTTCTGGTGTGTGGGTTCTCCTGTTAAGATGTCCAATAAGCTCAGAGTGGTGGACTTGGAATATGCAGGTGAGCAGTTCGTCATCAAGTACGAGGATGTGGACGGAAAGGTCAAAATGACCTTTGTGTGGATGGAAGACCTTCAGCAGTGCTTTTTGGTGCAGTTAATTACTGCATTCCCAGCAGCAAAAGTGAAAAAGCACTTTGGGAGAAAATCTTGAGAATGTTGCAACATCTGGTTGGTTTCCATTTAGAGAAGTTGTAAATATCCAAAGATGATTTTGAAATATTTTTATTTTTGTCAAGCTTATTTCTCGGTTCTTATTCATGAAAATGTTGCCTTTTTTGCGTTTGTTAATGTATATGCCTGACATTTTTTTGTTGTTGTTGAGTTTCAGGGACTGTTGTTTAGCAGAAGTTTAAATTTGGTAAAAGTTGTTCATTTTTGGTATCCAATTTTTCATAGTTTCATGAAGTAGAGTAAATTCAGTTAAGACAATCAATAACACAATGGTGTGAACATCATGTTTACTGTGTAACTAAACTCAAATGTTGAATTTGTATGAATGATTTATTTCTCAGTAATGTTTTTCTGAAGGTCATTCAAGTGATGGAGTGACATTGAGAAACACTGTTCAAAACAGCTGGTTTTGTTTGATATATTGAGGCACAATTTAAAATTCTTCTCCATTATACCAGCCATTATGAAAACATCATATATATTAGCTCTTCCTTTACATTAATGTGTAATATCCACACTATAAGCATCACCATAAGAAATTGCAAAAATTAACAGGTAAACATGTTGCCTTTAGGCGTTGGTCTTTCGACACTGCTTTAAAGCGTCTTCCAGAGCTGTAAGAGCCTTCGCAGCATTGGCTTTGTTGCAGTTGTATCCCATGAGTCCAATCCGTATTACCTAGAAATCAATTCAGCAGATAATTATTCAGAATGTAGTTAAACGCCGTGCACTTATGTTTTGTTTAATACCTTTTACTCACCATGCCAACAGAGGGCCCTAGACCTCCTGTAAACTCTATTTGGTGATGCTTCATGATGTAAGCCAGCAATTCCTTCCAGTTATATCCCTCAGGGATCGCAATGGTGGTTACTGAGGGTAATCTCAAATCCTTTGGAAATGGGAATATAGTTTAACGGCTTTCTCTTTTAGGGTATATTATTATTCAACAATAATAGGTACCTTGTCCTTGATGAACAGCTTCAAGCCCAGGTCTTCCAAGCCTTTCCAAAGATACTCTGCAACTTCTCTATGATGCCTCCATGAGTTCTCAAGACCCTTGAGCAGGAATTTAAGAATTATTAACCTCATGACATCACATACTACTCATTAAAGATCCTTTAAATGTATTAACTGCCATATTGTGTAACCGATAAACACTACTGTTCAAAAGTTTACTGTCAGTAAGATTTTTTTTATTTATATCAAGGACATGTTAAAGGAGTAGTTCACTTAAAAAAAAAAACTTTTACTGATAATTTACTCACCCCCATGTCATCCAAGATGTCCATGTCTTTCGTTCTTCAGTCGAAAAGAAATTAAGGTTTTTGATAACATTCCAGAATTTTCTCCATATAATGGACTTTAATGGGCACCAACGGTTCAAGCTCCAAAATGAGAGTTTCACTGCAGCTTCAAAGGGCTCTAAATGATTCCAGACGATGAATAAGGGTCTTATCTAGCGAAACGATCTGTCATTTCAAAAATAAATAAAAAAGTTTAAGTTTTATAAGCACAAATGCTCGCCTTGCTCTGTTCGTGACTCTCCTATTCAAACTCGTTCATCAAAATGAACAAAAATGAACTTTTTTTCGGGTCATGACTCGAAGGGTCCTAGATAAGACCCTTATTCATCGTCTGGTGTCGTTTAAAGCCCTTTAAAGCTGCAAAGAAATTCTTATTTGGACCTTGAAGCGTTTGGTTCCCAATGAAGTCCATTATATGGAGAAAATCCTGGATTGTTTTCATCAAAAACCTTAATTTATTTTCAACTGAAAAAAGAAAGACGTGGACATCTTGGATGACATGGGGGTGAGGAAATTATCAGCAAAAGTTTTTTTTTTTTTAAAGTGAACTACTCCTTTAAACTGATCAAAAGTGACCGTTAAGACATTTATAATACAAAAGATTTATATTTCTCAAATAATCCTGATAATAAATGTTTCTTGAGCAGATAATCAGCTTATTAGAGTTATTTCTGAACTGGATCATGTGACACTGAAGACTGAGTAATGATGCTGAAAATTATTTTAATTTGTAATAATAAATCATAGTATTTCTGTTTTTACAGTATTTTTGATTAAACAAATGTAGCCTTGGTGAACATCAGAAAAAAATTCAATCTTACTGACCCAAACATTTGAATGGCAGTGCATGTAATATCATAGATTCATAAATCTAAGCACCCTGCCTGTTATAGTTTAAACAAAAAAGTTAAGAAAACAAGCATCTAAGATGTAATCATTATATAATCCCCACCGTTTCAGCAAGGATGGCTAGACTTTCTCTCAGGGCAAAGAACCCAGACACAGGTCCTGTGTGATGATATCTAAAAACATAGTTCAGTTAGCTTTACGCAATCCTTCACTCAATCCACTATTGAGTCTTGCAAGAGAAACCGTTTGTGTTTACCATACTTACATTCTGTTTGGCTTTCCATCATTGCCCCAGTAATTGGATAAGTAAGTCATATCAAGGAGGTAGGATACTGGCTTTGTTTTCCTGTTAAACATCTTGTGGCTATATCACATTTGAGGGGAAATAAATAACATTAGTTGATTCCACTAACTGTTAGAGAACGATTCTATGTGTGCAAAAACATACTCGTGTATATATATTCAGAAGTCTCTCCTCACCATGCTCTTTCGCTAAATGAAATTGGTGCTGTGCCGGGTGGAGCATTCAAGGCTTTTTGGGATCCAGTATACAGAATATCAATATCTACAAAGAAAAAGGATTCGTTATGTAGGACACCAATGGTTGAATTTATTCCACAGGCTTTTACATTGAGATTTAGAATATGCACATGATCAAATGGTCTTCCACTCACTTTGTTGGTCCATTAAAAGTGGTGCAGCTCCCAAGGATGCCACGGAATCCACTAAGAGCAAACAGTTGTATCTGTATTAAACAAAACCACGCAAGAGCACCTCAGTGGACAATACGGATATTTAACTTTAAAATTCGTAGAACACAAAACTACTTAATCGTGTTTTTAATTAACCTTTTATTTTCCCTTTACATTATTTGAACAATCCACAAACCTCATTTACACCCAATAGCCAGATGTTTATGTTTATGTTGTTTCACACTCCTGAAAGTTGATTTGTGAATCTCTACAGTGTAGCCTACCCAATCATAAAATCTTCAGAACAGACCTCAAGCAAAATCATTAACGTTTTTAGAAAAATAGCACAATAGAAGTCAGACATAAATGATTGTTGAATATTCTTACTTGTGACACATTTCACCAATGCCGTCCATTGGGTGCACCAGACCAGCTGATGACTCTCCATGTGTGAGAAAGAAGAGAACAGGCTTATGTTTAGCCAAAGCCTGTAGAATGACAAAGGTTGGTTACAAAATAGTGAATTTGCTTTGCTAATCATATAACATACAGTGGCCATATTAGAAACAAAATACAATGGAAACTTGTCTTAACAACGTTTATGTATGAAGTAAACATGTTAACCTGTTCAATTTCTGCAGTTGTAAAATGTCCTCCAGGTGTTTTTACCAAGGTGTGAACCTTTGCACCTATGGAACGAAAGATGTTTAAAGTGTGCTCTCATCAACATATAAAGAACCAAACAATGGGATCACATTATACCCATCCGCTCAGCGATTTCTGCAACTCGTTCTCCCCAGATTCCATTGATGGCAACGAGAACACTTTCTCCAGGCTCCACAATGTTGAACACCGCACATTCCATCGCCGTGTGGCCAGAGCCACTCATGACCAGAGTCATGTTGTTATTGGTTTGAAAAGCATACTGGACTCCTTTCTTGATATCATTCATAATCTATGACAAAATGTGTGCATTGACTGTTAGAATCTCCAACAATAGTTTCAATAGTTCAATAGTTTCCACAAGATCTCAGCTCAGATCTGCGAATCAATGATTAATAATATATTCATTTTATATTATTATTATTTGTTTGTTTGTTTTTAATAATTCATACAAACGTAAAACATATAGATGGTGAAGCAGTCCAGAGATTGTGTCCAGAAGTCTCTTTTACAGGCTGGCATTCTTAAAGAAATGTTGGCACAAGTAGCCTAGTTTGTCATGTTTTTTTTTTTTTTGTATTATTTATTAAATGCTTCATTGCTTTTTTGTTTTAAAATATTATATCTATTATATAGATGCTTAATAAAATATGTATATAAGGACGTTTTGAATATGAATATCTGAAGATATTTTTTTTTTACCTTGAGTAATATGTTTTAAATACGTTTTTGAAAATGCTTAAGTTGTTTTTATAGTCGTGAAATAATTTTAAACAAAAATTATTAGTTTTAGGCTAAATGGTAGACTAATAACGAGCGTTTTAAATCTAGACTTTCTTATTTACCATCGACCCATATCAAAATTATAAAATGCATTGGGGCAAAAACGCAGCGTAAAATTTACCTCAAACATTTCCGAGTGCATATGACCTATTATAGGTCTCCCTCCTGCCGCTAAAACACGAGGCGGCACATTGGAGGGTCCTGGTCCAAACAGGTACCGGAATGGAGCTTCGAGCGGCCGGAACATGCAGGCCGGTGGAGGGATAGTCACGGAGGATATCCCGCGGTGGACGCTGTGTTTGGTGAACCGCGCGCATTCCAAAGGCACATTCTTCGCCAAACGCGCGCATCTGGATAGGACAGTCCTTGGCATCATGTTTCCTCTCTCTGCAGATCGTTAAAAGGACCAAACTTTGAGTTCTTCCATTTTAAACAAACGGGTCTCTGACCCCTGGAACACAGAGCAACATGCGTCATGTTTTTTTGGCACAGAATCTTCCAAACAAGGTACAACGGTTCAGAGGTAGATAAGGGGGATGTTCTGAACAGCTTAACAAAATAGAATAGGGTGATATAATACCACAGTGATCGAGAAGCTGTCCTGTAGCTATTATACAAGGTTGTGTGTGTGTGTGTGAGTTTTGTCCTTTTATTTGATATTTTAACCCTAGTTTCCTGAAACCTGAAAAATACGTAAACAGAGCGCAGGTGTTTATCTGAACTTTTTCACAAAGTTAACCCTGTACTGAGAGATTAAAATGTTGCAGTCGATAGTCAATGGGTCGACAGGGATTTAAATGCAGTATTTTATATTTTTAATGGATATCTAGCCTATTGTATATTTATTCATAATGTTAAATAGGAGACAAGTGAGTTTGATTCTGGTTTAGTTAGTTTAAAACCTTTACTGTATATCCTCTTCAGGTTTAGGGTGGGGGGTAGAGGGCTGTTCACAATGTTATTGACTTTGTGACTGTATCCGTTTTATATGCAAAAACAATAAATATATTGTTAAAAAGGCCCATATTTGCATACATGTTTTATCAAACAGACAAAAGTGAGTTTTTGTTTACATCCTTTACTATTGATTGATTTACTGTTCACTTTGTTTACCATCTCAGTACAGTCTATTGTAGATAGACATTGTAGAATTGCAAACTAGTTTTTCCATATTATTTGCATTTGAATAATTTCTATAATTTTATAATGTATCTAACTAAAATCAAATTTTATTATTTTAATTATGTAATGATTTTGTGAGTTTAAATATATTTAATATTCAGCTTTTTATATATATATATATATATATATATTTGATCATTTTTGTATAAATGAATAATCAAAGTGTAAACATAAATAGATTTTGCTGTTCCCATTCATTACTAAAATGCTTACTCTGTACAAAACCGATCAGAACAGTGATTCTCCAAAACACACCAGTCTTGTGTCATAGGAAGCAGAAGCTGATGTCAGAGCTGGGACTTTGACCAGAGCACTGGTCGCCATCACTTATCCTGCAGTAAATAATTAGTCTGCACAGTAAATAAGTGGAAACGCAATGTTTACCCTTGTGTGCCCTTTGCACTGGTGGGGTTTAACACACACTTAACCAGCCAGAGTAAGAGGTGCAACTCTTACCATGCTTTTGTGAAAGACAAGACATGCATGCAATGCATATTGACTAATGACCACGATTGACGTGGTTTACCTTCAAATGCTATTTCAAAAATTGATATTTAAATTGATATCCACTTGTGTAATAGTGAGCAGAATGATGTCAGCTGCCCAGGTGATGGGGCTGTTCTGCTAAAACTATTTTAGTCCATTGACGTAATTACATTTTTAATTTGACTTTAGTACAATAATAGATTTATCTTCAAAATATATTTTTTCTTGCCTATGCATCTGAGGAGATAATTGTGTCTCTATATTTCACAATGTTACTTTTAATATTATCTCAAAACTACTTTTTTTAATATACTTTTTATATTTTACATTGAATATTTAATATAAGGTTTAATTACTATGGTTTTCCCCAAGATAACACCAGACAAAGTCAAGATATATTTTTGTTGTTGCTATGGACTAAGTTGACAAGAGATTAGTACTGGTAGCGTAGGCCTGAGAAAAAACGGATTTCACGTTAGTGATATAATTTAAGAACAATTACTACTTGTTGTTTTACAGAACATCACAGTTATAGATTATATGAGAATAGTAAGGGCCTTAAAAACATTCTAACTAACCCACTGAAAAATTCAATACAATTTCTCCATTGACATTTGAGATATAAGCCATAAAAACGTAACCATACATGGTAGACTTAAAACCAGCTACGGCTGTACTAAGAGATTGTATATGCTCATATAAACGTCAAAAGTTCATGGGGCACTAACTTTGTTTTAAGATAAATGCCTTTTATTCGCGATGTATTGGATAAGTACTTCATTACCCACAATCCTGGACAATACCACGATCCAACAGTGATGCATCTGATTGGTGGAAGTCGTGTCACGTGTCTGAAACCCGCGAAGGTACGTGAAGACTGAAGATCGCGTAATGACGTAGGGCTAAGTTCATTGGTCGCACTTCTGAGACGCCCGCGCGTCACTGGATGTGCAGTTGCCTTGCCACAGCTTAGCTAATGAGCGAGCCAGAGACTCATGTTTTTGCACGTTGAGCTGCAAATGCGTTTGCTTCAGTAAATCGAGGAAAAGGAGTTTCCCTGCACATTCACTATATAAAATTCACTGGAGGAAAAAGTTCACGTGCCCGTCGTCAGATTTGGAAGTCGCTCAAAAGGCTCTTTCACGGTGGTTTTCAGACGACTTCAGTGAGGCACGGTGGTTTATGGGAGGAGTAGTTCCTTGGAAATGAAAATATGTACACAGTCTTGTACCCTTGACTTTTTTTGGGATTTTCTCTTCGTTTTTTCACTCGAAATGATGTATTGTATGCTTATGAGTTCAGCCGTTGCTGATTATCCTCAGACATGCTCTAATACTCTTTAGATATGGATTTTACAAAATGTCAATGGGAGAAATGAATGGGAAATTTACTTCAGGCACCAGCGCTCTCTCGGGCTTTGGGCGGGACTGTGATGCCCATGTAGGGACAGAAAGCGCTCGGACTAAATCTAAACTATCTTAAACTGTGTTCCGAAAATGAACGGACATCTTACGGGCTTGGAACGACGTGAGGGTGAGTCATTAATGACATAATTTTCATTAATGAAAATTTGGGGGGGGGGGGGGTTGGCAAATAACCTTTAAAGGGTGTTTCCCCCCACTCTACCCTACACTGACAATGGTTCAGTCAATATTACTTTGTACAGCTAGCTGTCAAAGTATTTAACATTTTTTACAAAAAATATACACACTGAACCAAAACTTTTGTAAGTCTCCTAATGATCAATAATTTATGACAACATATGTTTCTACATTGCTTTAAACTTATCAAAATAACTTTTATATGTTATACAAGTCAATATAATTTAAGTTGAAATTACTTAAACATCCAAGTTGTTGTGCTAAAAAAATTAAGGCAGCGACTTTTTTAAAAAGTGTGTGTTCACCAATTAAGGCGTTATTTATTTGATCAAAAAATATAGTCCAGTTATGTGAATACCCACATAGCAACATTGTTTCGGCCCAGATCTGGCCCACATCTGGCACTTGAGGGATGCGGATCTGGCCCCCATGCAGCAATGAATGATGGTGCTTGGGTGGCCCACTCCTGTTTACCAGATCTGGGCCACAAGCAGGCCATAGCAATGCCACATGTCCGCCAAGAGCAAAGAAATAAACCAGAACTGGACTTTATCCGAGCCACAAAATCTGTGTTATTAAACATGGAGTTGTCTCAACCTTAATAAGCCTGTTAACAAGCAGAATCACTGAAGGAAAGAAGAGAATGGAAAAAGAGACGAGCAGAACAACTACTGACTTTAGCCACAGTCTTAAATGAAATCACCTGAAGAGAAAAGAAGACATTAAATCTGAAGATCTCAGCAGAGGAGGATTAAACAACTCCACAAACAGCATTACCAGCTTCACTTACAGTATTACTAACCAGACTGACTTTATTTCTGTCAGACTTCTACAGAAGATTTTATTGAAAATTAACAGAGGTTTAACTCTGTGTTTCATTTGAAGTCACCAAAACATCAGAATCTCTGAAGGAGAAAATCGTAATTGGTTACCATTATGGAGATCAGCAATTGTGCTGCTTAATATTTTTTTTTTTCAGGATTATTTGATGATTGAAAGTTCAAAGCTTTACTTGGAATACCAATATTTTGTTTCATTATAAATGTTTTTACTAATCACTTTTGATCAATTTAATGCATCCTCGTTGAAAAGAAAATACATTTTCTTATATATTACCCTAATTTTTAATTATTATTATTATTTTAAATAACTCAAGTCCCCTTTTTTTAAGTGAACCCAACTTGTTTGTCTCTTGCATAAGCTTAGCTGGCACCCTCTACCGTTCATAATGAGTTCATTGAGAGCTGTGCAGGCTGAGACACAGACTCTGCTGGCTAAGCTTGGAATTTAAAACGAGCTCGTGCTTTTAATGCTGTGGTTTATATTCGAGGACACGGAAGCAAATCCATGACCGTGGTCTTTTTTAACCGCGACCTGTGATGCAGTTATCGCACCCTTCCTATCTGTCTGTGGCTCTCAGCCTCCCGTTCTCTCTTTCGCTCCCTCTCCCTCCCTCCCTCTCACTCCCTGTGCTGCATCAATGCCGCTAGCTCCCACACTGATGATGTCATCAGCGACTCACGGCTGATCAGCATCCTTGGCTCCACCATAAGAGCCATTTTGTGTTAGTCTGAAGAAACACTCTCTCTCAACACATCCTCACATCCATTAACCCCTCCCTCTGCTTGGCCCTTCTTGATGCACCACTGCATACCAGGCCCTGCAAAACCAGTCTCCCTCAGTCGGATGGTCTTGTCAGGGGGGGCTCCACCTGCTTTGATGTCGCTGGACTAGGGAGAGGCTGCAGAGCCTATTGGAAAAAATAAAACAACTGGGTGAGGAAGAAGACGGCGGATGGAAGCAGACTTGATGGAATAACTCACAGCTGTCCGCAATCTCAACAGGATATTGCCATCAGGAATCAGTTAAGTGAGGTCTTGATGTTTGTTTAGGCCTATTTTATAACCAGCGTTTTTCATGTCTCTAATGAGAATACGGAGGGTGGTGCACTCCACTCCTGTTTTGTCCGGAAAGCCACACAGGCTGGTGGAATACAAGTCAGCAAAAAATGAAAAAGATCTGGAGATGGATGTTTATAAATTATAGAATAGAATTATTTGTTCAAATTTGATCTTGTACTAGTGATACTATTTTATCATACACATACATTGTTTTATTATTTTTGGATATCAAAGGACATCGCTCCAGTCTTGACCGTTCTGTTGGCCACAGTGCTGAAGGATGCTGTTTATGTTGGAAGGGTGAGGCCATGAAATCTGGGCCTTTTCCGTTATTTAAATGTTTTCAATTTCAAAAGCCGGTCAGATTGAACTGATAATTACTGAGAAATGCCTACGGTATTAATAACGATATCCAACAAGAAAAATAATCGTATTATTTTTTTTATTAGTTGGTTATTGTTATTATTTTGAGGTGGGCTAGGGTATTTAAAGTAGCCTACGCACTAATATTTGTGGAGGAGGAAACGATTTACGTAGTATTTATATTGGAAATTAGAAAATCTGTATTTGCCTATTTTGCTCTGGACTCTCAGACTTTAACACCCCAAGTCTACCGCGACGCGACAACCACGAGCGCTCCTATAGCCTATGCAAACTAGTGATGCCGATTATAATTGTGTAGATAGTTTCTTTGATTATATTGGGAGCGTTTTTATTTGTCGCGTCTCTAGCAGTGTAGCTTATGGGGTGTTACTGCCGCATCGCAGCATACGCAGAGGCGGCTCTAAATATAAACTGATGGAATACATATTTATATGTTATAACCACCTTGTTTAGGATATCTGCTTGTCCTCCGTGGCCGTTGAAACGGATTCATAGCGTTTGTTTTGCCGGGTGGACTGAAGGAAGCTGACGCAAATGCCCGTCCATCACAGCTGATTCATGACACTATTGGCTGACGGTCAAGGCAGCCATTTTCAGTAGACTATACGGACTGTGTGTGCGCGAATAACATTTTCTCAATGCGCCGTATTGTGTACAAACATAACTGTGATTTTGCACTCGAAGGATGGCACCCAGCCCAGTCTTTCAGTCTGGATGAATCTTGTTCAAATTTAGGCTAACCACAGCTTGTTTATAGTAGGCTACATTTTATTTTTCATTTTCAATACACTTGAATTATTTTGACAACGGGTGGGTAACGGCTTAGGCTAGCTATATATATCCCACTTGAAGTTGCCAATAAAACAAAAAACGAATCAACTGTAAATGAACAGGATAATTTACCATATTAAATTTTGATATCCTATAGCCTAAATTTCTTTTTTTATTAGTAAAGAATAAACTTGGACAATATGTCTAATCTATCACTGATTTAAACCATGATTTGTAGCCTAATATTTTGTAGTATGAAATAATTTAAATATAACTTTGTCTAATTTCCCCCCCTTTTCCCCTTTTAATGGATTAAGATATCCACAGTTTGGGCAGTTATCTTAAGAATTGTTAAAATGAAATGTCACTAACCCAGAGTTTACAGTGTGTTGGTTAACATATGTTGTGAACAGGCTGTTGGTTATTTTATGTGCCCATATGAATCCTAAACCTGTTTGTAAGCCTGTTTTGCTATAGGCCTACAGCTAGTTTTAGAGGTTATAAATTCACATAGCCATATCAAGTGTACAGTAATCTGCTGAATGTTATAGTCCTGATGAGTCATGGTCTCTGGATCTCAGAGAGCTCCATTACCTAAATTAGATTATCTATAGTGTAACTTGGCCAATACAATCTCCTGAACAGATTCATGAGATTTTTCCTAATTATTTATTTATTATTTCTAAGTGAATTGAGGTACTAAATCTAAAGTGTAAGCCTTTCTTGCCTCGTTTTGCATTTATACTGTATTACTCTTTATTCTACAGTGAAGTAAGTTTCACATATATAACAAATATAAATGCTCATACCCCTTTTTTAATAATGAAACAAAAAGTATGATTGCAACACATAGCATGTCAGTGTTTCTCTCTACAGGTGGCAGGTGGCCTCTGATTCCTGGCAGGGCTTCGTCCAATCAGATCCTGTGCAGTAGCAAAGCCCCAGCACTCAGAAACCATGGCGTGTGCCTCGGTGAAAGTAGCTGTGAGGGTCCGACCCTTCAATTCACGAGAGATTGGAAAAGATAGCAAGTGTATCATCCAGATGTCAGGCAACACCACCAGTGAGTGCTCTTACAACACATCTGTTTTCACTTGCTATCAATGATCATTTGAACTAATTTAAGTAAGAGTTACATGCCAGTGTCCCCACAATGCTGTAGTAATAATTTATGATCGTACTGAAATATTTATTCTGATGGTCTCTCATCAGCACCCCCATGAGAGAAAACATTGCATCTCTAGGCTTACGGGGTTTTAAAATGTCAAAGGTGTCATGCTTTTGGTTTTGGTAAAGGTTAGCTTTAATTGATTGGGTGTGCTGTCACCACCTGACTAGATTTGTTGACTTACTGTTTGTTTCATAGGGACAAAACTCTTTTTTTAGTATCGAATTTTAGTAATTTATATGTAATATTCTTGCAGTAATCCATGAAAACAAAAATATGAGGAGCAAAATGACATTTTCACTTAGAGATGGAGACTGGTTCATCTCATATAGTTTGATGTGGAGAGTGGCACAATAACACTTATTATTTAATACTATGATGCTAGAGAAACACAAAACAGCAAGATAATAGTGCCATAATGATAAAAAACGTAATATTTTGAATGGAAAATACTATTTCATGGACAGTAAAAAACATGGTTGCAATGCTTTATTTTGATGGTCCGTACATCTGTACATGTTCAGAAACATTCCCCATTTCAGGCCAATCTGTGGCATTTCCAGCCCGCGTTTCTAGAGTAGCTCCAAAAACTGTAAAGCGTCCTATTGTTCTGTCTGCAGCATGAGTGGGAAAACAGAGTCAGCTGATGCAGAGTGTGAGGTCAGACACACTGCATGGCTTTGTGCTAGTGAGAGGATGCAGCGAGGTTCATGACCTCAGTCCCAGAACCCAAGGGATGGCATGATTCCCGCTTCCTTAGTCTCATCTGTCTTGAAACATGCCTACATTATGCATATACCCTAGGGTATATTACCAGTATGCCGTTTTGATGAGTACATTGAGATATTGAATGATTTTTAATATTTTTTTGTCATTTTTGGACATGGCTTATGTGGATAAATAATCAGACAGTCTGGTCTTAATTTATATTAAATGGAATTTCATGTATAATTATAGTTAAATATAAATTATTTATTTATTTGGAGTGTACTTTACTGTTCAAAAGTTTGGGGTTGGTAATTTTTTCATATAATTTTTAATATTTAGCAATGAAGTCTCACCAAGGCTGCATTTATTTGATCAAAAATACAGTAAAAATAGTAATATTGTGAAATGTTATTACAACTTAAAATAACATTTTTCTATTTAAATAAAAATAATTGATTCCTGTGATGTCAAAGCTGAATTTTCAGCATCATTACTCAAGTATTAAGTGTCACATGATCTGTCAGAAATCATTCTAATATGCTGATTTGCTGCTCAAGAAACATTTATTATTATTTTCAGTGTTAAAAACAGTTTAATATTTTTGTGGAAAGTGTTTTTTTTTTTCAGAATTCTTTTATGCATAAAAAGTTTAAAGGAACAGCATTTAACATAAATATTTTGAAACATAAAATTTATTCAAGGTCACTTTTGATCAATTTAATGTGGCCCTGCTGAATTAAAATAATTCCTTACAAAAAAAATTTGGACAGTAGTGTAATATATTTACAAGAATAATGACATTCTTCTATCCTCATTATGAGGTTTTAAGCACCATCGTTTGGCATAAGAGATTTCAGGTCTGATCATGAAAGAAATTAAATGAAAATGGGGAAATAGTTTAATGTATGGTAGTTTGTTGTTTTGTCCAATTGATTGTAGATTTATTCTTATAGACACGTTCTTTTTGCTTTCTAGCAATTATAAATCCAAAACAGCCAAAGGAGAACAAGAGCTTCAACTTTGACTATTCCTATTGGTCGCACACAACGGTGAGTTTCTTGACACATGGTAACTGGTGAATCTGCCTCTTATGCAACTCACTGCTGCTATTTTTAATTCTACTATGATCATGATTGCTGTCCTTGAGACATTTAAGCTGAGTGTGTGTTTATGTCTTCAACAGCCAGAAGATGTGAACTTTGCATGCCAAAGGCAGGTTTATAAAGACATAGGGGAGGAAATGCTTTTGCATGCCTTCGAGGGATATAACGTCTGTATCTTTGCCTATGGGCAAACTGGGGCCGGAAAGTCATATACCATGATGGGCAAGCAAGAGAAAGACCAAGAAGGCATCATCCCATTGGTAGTATACTTTAATACCATGTGTTATTGACTTCATCACTGTCTTTGATATTGTAGCAAATAGATGCTTCCACGTTTGTGGAAAAACCTTCTCAATGCTTAATCTCTCTGTGACAGCTATGTGAGGACCTGTTTACCAAGTTCAATAACAATAATGACAACAGCATGTCATACTCAGTTGAGGTAAGAGCAACACCTTCATCATAAATTGCAATTTTCACAGAATCTGTAGAGCAAGGGAAAATTGTTCTGTTTTTTTTTTCAGGTCAGTTACATGGAGATCTACTGTGAGCGTGTGCGGGACCTTCTGAACCCAAAGAACAAAGGGAACCTGCGTGTGCGAGAGCATCCTCTGATGGGTCCGTATGTGGAGGACCTATCTAAACTGGCTGTTACTTCCTACAATGACATTCAAGACCTGATGGACTCTGGAAACAAGGCCAGGTGACACAAATTTAAAGGAGTAATTCACTTTTTAGTAGTTCACAAGATATCCATGTCATTCTTTCTTCAGTCGAAAAGAAATTAAGGTTTTTGATGAAAACATTCCAGGATTTTCTCCATATAATGGACTTCATTGGGAACCAAACGGTTCAAGGTCCAAATGAGAGTTTCAGTGCAGCTTCAAAGGGCTTTAAACGACACCAGACGATGAATAAGGGTCTTATCAAGTGAAACGATCGGTCATTTAAAAAATAAAAATAACAAAGTTTAAGTTTTATAAGCTCAAATGCTCGCCTTGCTCTGTTCTGTGATGCGGGATTGTGACTCTGCTGTTCAAACTCGTTCATCAAAATGAAATAATCTTTTTTCGAGTCATTTGGTTGATTCAACGAACAAAATGAACAAATTGACTCGGAAAAAGATTTGTTCACCACTGCATCACTTTTGCTTACCATGCTGTTCATTCGCAGGACTGTGGCGGCCACCAACATGAATGAGACCAGCAGCCGCTCCCATGCTGTATTCAACATCATCTTCACACAGAAACGACATGATAGTGATTCAGAAAACACGTCTGAAAAGGTACCTCTCCTTCAGCCTTTCCCACCATGTATAGCTGTGTTTAGCATTGTTCTACTGTATATGAGAATGTGCGACTGCCTGTTCAGAAATAGACTAGAATGCAAAGGTAGGTGAGTGGACTCCCTGCAGTTCGAACATCTCTGATGGATGTTGGCAGTTTGACAGTTGCTGAACTTGCTGGTATGTGCATTAGAGCGCTTTACTGTTCTGAGACACAACATTTTTGTACTCAAACAGGTCAGCAAAATCAGCTTGGTAGACTTGGCAGGGAGTGAGCGGGCGGATTCTACTGGAGCTAAAGGCACGAGACTTAAGGTGAGTCACTTTAAGTTCAACAGAGTTTCATGAAATGTGTCATTTCAGATGAGTGCATCCATTAAATGTGAATGCTTTGTCCCATTTCTAGGAAGGAGCCAATATCAACAAATCTTTAACAACACTGGGCAAAGTTATCTCTGCGTTGGCCGAGATAGTAAGAATTCTTTTAATTTAAATAGGAATGTTGTTAAAAGAAAAGTAAAGTAATTTTAAAAATGTTTTCTTTTCTTTTGTAGGACTCTGCACCAAACAAGGTGAGGATCGGTTAAATATTTCTGTAATAATCAAGCATTATGGCTGTAGCTTTGACAATTGAGATGGCTTCTGTTCTCCGTACAGAACAAGAAAAAGAAGAAAGTTGAGAGCTTTATTCCATACAGAGATTCAGTTCTGACATGGCTGCTGAGGGAAAACCTTGGTACGAAGCTTCATGCCCCTTGCACACACCTTTTTAACAATAATCATTGCTCTCCATCAATTAAAGCATTTAATATTGCCGTCAACATGGTCAATTTAACTGTGGTATGGTCCAAAACTATAAAAACTTTCCTGAAGGTATAATGTTTTTCATTTTTAGGAGGTAACTCTCGCACTGCTATGGTAGCAGCTCTAAGCCCTGCTGATATTAACTATGATGAGACACTCAGCACACTCAGGTAAGAACAACATGATGCCATAAAGACATTACTTAATATTAGATTAATTGTGTCACAAAATTCTACACACTTTTTCGGTATGTTACAAGAAATGCACTTTATGGAAAACAATGATCATTACGCTCATGTTGTTCTAAACTCATATGACTTTTGTTCGTGGAAGGAGAAGTTTAGCTGAGTGTTAATGGTGCTCTTTTGTCCATTTAATGAAAGTAAATGGTGACCAGAAGCTGTCAAGCTTTGAAAATGACTCAACATATTTCAAACAAATCATTACAGAAAACTTTGGATTCAGTGTGCAAGTCTTGGTTATATGGATAATGGTGTTCACGTTAACTTTCATTGTATAGGAAAAATGTTTGGACATGCTACATTTCTTCTTTTCTGTTTCATTGAATAAAAATAATAATACAGGATTTGAATAACACATTTTTTTTTAAAAGTTATTTTATTTTTTGGGCTTAAAAGCTTGCTTCCGGGCCGCTCTCAGTTGTTATTACTACCAGTTTATGTTGATTCTGAAATACTGGGCTATTTAGGACATTCTGATGCTGTCTTTGGATAGTTAATAGCAATATCACTGTCACAGATATGCTGACCGAGCCAAGCAGATCCGTTGCAACGCCGTCATCAACGAAGACCCCAACAACCGCCTGGTGCGTGAGTTGAAGGAAGAGGTGGCTCGTCTGAAGGATCTGCTTTATGCTCAGGGTCTTGGAGACATCATTGAGAGTGAGTCACCTGTGATATATTTTAAACAGAGGAGTTACAACATTTCGTTCTTCTTAAAATTGAATTTGAAGTGCAAATGCTGCCAAGACAATGAACCTAGAAAAGCAAATATTCTCTACATTTACATAATCAGAAACCTGAGGGTCAAACAGCTCTAGGAATGTGTCTGAAGGATTTGTCTTCTCTCTCTGTTTCTCTCAGCATATCGGGCACAAGCTCCTGGGATGTCTGCTCTCAAATGTGTGTATTTTGGCACTCTAAATGCTTCACAGCTTACAATAACCCAGGGGTCGGCAACTTTTTTTTTCCTTAAAGGGTTAGCTCACCCAAAAATGAAAATTCTGTCAGTATTTACTCACCCTCATGTTGTTCCAAACCTCTATGTGTTTATTTGTTCTGCTGAACACAAAGGAAGATATTTGGAAGAATGTTTTAATCAAACAGATCTCATTCCCCATTGACTACCATAGTAGGAAAAATACATACTATGGTAGTCAATGGGGATTGAGATCTGTTTGATTCCAAATATCTTTCTTTGTGTTCAGGAGAACAAATAAACACATAGAGGTTTGGAACAACATGAGGGTAAGTAAATACTGACAGAATTTTCATTTTTGAGTGAACTAACCCTTTAAGTTAATTGTATTCTATAAAGCTATATATATTTCTGTTATTAAGCTATATTTTTGAGCGCAAAAATAAACAAAGCAGTGCCAAAGTTTGTCACCCATGCAGCACTGTGAACTGGACTGTGCAACTCATAGGACATATACATTTATTAAGGTTGCACAGGTCAGTTTTTGATTTGTCTAATACATTATGATTTTTCCTACATTTTTGCTTTGATGGCTTAAAGAGATCGCTATTTAAGATTTCACCAAAAAAAAAAGAAAAAAGAATTCTGTCATTATTTGATCGCCCTCATGTCATTCCAAACCTCTATGGCTTCATTTCTTCTGCTGAACATAAAAGATGTATTTTTTTCCAATGGAAAACAAAGGGGTCCAATGTTGATTGGTTGCCAACATTCTTCAGTCTCCCTTTGTGCTCCATAGAAGATAAGACAGTCATACAGGTTTGGAGTGACACGAAGATGAGTAAACAATGACTGCATTTTTATTTTTGAGTGAACCTTTAATATGAGCAATTTATATTTCATAACAATTTATGGAATTATCGAGGTTTATGGGAAATTAGCATGCCTTTAATCTGAATTGTTAGTGAGTGTATTATTTACATATATATACATATATACATATTATTTTTTGTTTTGCTATTCAGATTCATATCATACATTTACTTTACAAAGACTATTATTTACCCATATTTGCTTCTTGACGAGTGTTCATTTTGGACTTTGACTTAATAATAAACTACCAATATTACAATCATATAACAATCATAAATCCTCTGTCCTTTTCATGTGTCTGCCAACACTGACCATTCGTAATGTTGCCAACCCCTGTGATAACCAAAGCAGGAATCTCTGGACCACCAAAGTCCATGCTGTGTGATTTTATCTATTCAGTTTAAATAAAACGTATTATTCTGACATAATTGTACATTGCTGCTCTGATGGTCCAGGGGCGCTCTAGAGGTTTGCTTGAAATTTGCCTCTATGAAAAGCATAGGCATGTAGTTCTGTGCAGTCACAGATCAATATTACATTGAGTGTTCAGTTCATCTCCATGCTCATTATCTCAAGCATGGTCCGATGAATTTGAGGCATGAGGGAAAAATCCATTAGTAATCATGTTTTTGATCTTCTGATTTACTTAAAACAGACACACACACACACTCACACACAACAGCGTCTGAAGTCCCCAAATTGATGCCGTCTGCCTCGCGCCTTGCAGCTTTATAACCTCTTTTAATTTGTTGTTGACCTTTATGTTTGACACTTTCTACTCTTCCTCCTTCCCCTTCTTTTTTGTTTCCATGGTTTTCCTTTTTCTCTTACCTCAATTTTCTCCCTTGACTCTCCAACCTGTCATTCCCACTTATTGCCCAGACTTGTCCAGTTACAAGACTAATATCAATAGCATCCAGGCTATCAATCAAAGGGGTGATTTCTCCACAGTGACCAATGCCATGACAGGGATGAGCCCCTCCCCCTCTCTCTCTGCCCTGTCCAGCCGAGCTGGCTCCATCAGCAGTCTGCATGACCGGATCATGTTCAGCCCGGGAAGCGAGGAAGCCATTGAGAGGCTGAAGGTGGGTGAGAGGATGGTGGGATGACTGGATGGATGGTTTGATAAATTAATTGCTGATCTTTTAAATGTCGATCTCTTTTCCTACTAGGAAACTGAGAAGATAATCGCAGAACTCAATGAAACTTGGGAAGAGAAGCTTCGCCGCACAGAGGGGATTAGAATGGAAAGGTTGGAGATCCCTGGGAAGGCTTTTATCTTGAAATGTGTATGAAATTATTCAAGTTCATTTGTAAAAAAACATCTATTGTCATTAGGGAGGCACTTTTAGCTGAAATGGGTGTGGCGATGAGGGAAGATGGAGGAACTGTTGGAGTCTTTTCACCAAAGAAGGTTAGAGGATTGTTTAGTGTATTCTAAAAGGATCTAGTCAAGTCATTTCCTTCAACTAGCACTTCTTTATTTTTCAGACTCCACACCTGGTCAACCTCAATGAAGATCCACTGATGTCTGAGTGCTTACTATACTACATTAAAGATGGAATCACCAAGTAAGGATGTTGTTTATTTACAACCAAGATATTCACCCATGGACCTTTGGGGGGTCTCTGTGGACAAAAAAACCCTTGCCACCTCATATATTTATACGATTTTTAAACAAAACAACATTTATGATTTATTTTTTTACCCAAAATCCATTGCTCCATCAATGTTTATTAAAAACATGTATAATTTTTTTCTGCAATCACACACTATGGGGAGTAGTAAAAAGCACATTTTTGTTGAGATGTGCCTTTAGCCCCATTGTACCCTAAATTAAATCCAGGATAAAAATGATGGTTTAAATGTAAACCTGCTTATTTTTAAACAAGTTTTATAGTTTGGTGCACATAATTATTAGATAAACCTTGAATTTAAGCTTAATCCTTATTGGTGCAAACCACCCTTTGTGTAGAAAGTGATTCACATAATATTATATTTCTGTGATTTACCATCTATTAAGTGAACTGAACAATATTAATGATTATATTTAATTAGTGTTAGTTTTATACTTTTGAGTAATTAATTGTTTGAATTGAGTAATAAAGACAATTTGACCCCCTGTTCTAATGTGAAACGTATTTATTGATTTGTATGACACTCTTTGAGTGATGTTTAAGTTTATTCTCCAGAATAAGCCAGTAATTATGGCTAAGTTGCTAGTAATACAGTACTATTAAAGATATTTCTTGTGTGTTCATGCTTAACTACTCAATCATGGCTAATATTCCTGTACTATATATGTTCAGTTAATCATTAACTACTAGTGTATCAAAAAAAATCATATTTATTGATATTAAATGATCATTATAATAGAATTTTAATGAGTATTAATCAATATCTGATTTTTCCAATATCTATTTAGTATTTTCCCATGGCATTTCTCTATCTGTATCTTTTCCCCTTTATTCTGACAAATGGCCTCCGTATTTTCCTCTGCAGGGTTGGCCGCGAGGATGCCAGCAGTCGTCAGGACATTGTCCTGAGTGGCCATTTCATTCAAGACGAACATTGTATCTTTACAAGTAGTACAAATGCCTCGGGAGAGGGTACGGTGGTCCTGGAGCCCTGTGAGGGAACAGAGACTTACGTTAACGGCAAGAGAGTGACAGAGCCCACTATTCTCAGATCAGGTAGCTCTTCAGTTTTCAGGCTAAACACAGATTCAGTCTGATGAACCACACTTTTTTGGTGCCTGTAAGACCCAGATTGTGACTCCGTCTATAATCTTAGGTAACCGTATCATTATGGGCAAGAGCCACGTGTTCCGTTTCAATGACCCAGAGCAAGCACGGCAAGAGAGGGAGAGGACCCCATGTGCAGACACACCTGTGGAGCCGGTGGACTGGGCCTTTGCCCAGAGAGAGCTATTGGATAAACAAGGCATTGATATGAAACAAGAGATGGAGCAAAGGTAGCACTTCTGTCACACTTTTGTGGTTCTATAACAGCATGCATTTTTATCATCCATGACAATCACTTCAAATGGCACAAACAGCCCATCTTAAAACACCAGATAAAACTAGCAAACCAACCAAACTATGAATAGTTCCAGGTACAATATCTAGGTTTTGTGGCTATATTCTGATGCTTACATAATTTACAGGTTACAGGAGCTGGAGGATCAGTATCGCAAGGAGAGAGAAGAAGCAAGCAATCTTCTGGAACAACAGAGATTGGTAAGCCATTTTAGAACTTAATTACTCTATAAGAAGTTACAACCTGAAGAAGCTGGCAATTTAAACATATGTAACATTCATTTTTGTTTAGGACTATGAGAGAAAGCTGGAAGCTCTTCAGAGACAGGTTAACTCCAGATATTACCCAGAAACCACTGAGGAAGAGGAGGAACCAGAAGATGAAGGTGGGTAAAACAGTTTGAATAACATAGGTATTATCTGATTAATATATATAAAATACAATAATAAGATCACAGATTTTTTTTTTTTTTTAAGTTTAGATGTTTCTGGGACATCTCATTTCTAAACGGTTTCATATTTTGATCCTGTAGTGCCGTGGACAAAGCGGGAGACAGAACTGGCTCTCTGGGCTTTCCGGAAATGGCGATTCTATCAGTTCACCTCTCTCAGAGACCTGCTCTGGGGAAACGCAATTTTCCTCAAGGAGGCTAATGCTATTAGTGTGGAGCTGAAAAAAAAGGTACATTGAAATCATTTTAGGTCAGCCTGATTATCATTGTATGAAATCATTGTATTTAATTTAATTGTTGTTGTTTTTTTTTAGATAAGTTACAGTCCAACTTTAAATTTTTTTTCTTTTCTTTTTTTCTTTGCAGGTTCAGTTTCAGTTTGTGCTGTTAACGGACACACTGTACTCCCCGCTGCCCTCTGACCTCCTGCCCCCCAGCATAGCCAAAGACAGGGAGAAAAGGCTGTTCCCTCGCACCATTGTTGCAGTAGAGGTCCAGGACCAGAAAAATGGTGCCACACACTACTGGACCCTGGACAAACTCAGGTCCAGTGAGATCAAATATACATAATATGGTCATAAGTCTTGCCCTGTAGTTATTGATCGGGAGTAAATGACCAATTAAAAGCAGCAACGCTGCTACTAACTACGTAGCTCATCTATTTTCAAAATGGTACGTCGCTTTTTTCCAGTAATGACTGAGCTACTTTTTACATGTAACGTGAAAAAAATTCTTAATTGATATCAATTGAATGTAGTTCAGACTGTTCATGTGTATATAGACAATTCACTATGTATAGACAATTCCTTGTGCATTTATGAGTTTAACAACCCTTGTTAAATACTTATCTGATTAAATTATATATCATCTGTGTATGCATTAAAAATGTATTGTCCTATTAAAAATCTATTTTTGGTAGTTTTTTGTTAGTAAACGAGAGAACTAACTAGACACAGGTGCAAACAAGACAGAACATAATTGCGACAGATACACCATGTGCAGAATGTGTCATCAACATTTTTGCTGTTCTCCTAGAAGATAAATATTGTACATTTTACATTCTTATAGCTATTAAAAGTTAATTTCACCTTTTAGGGCCGGGGTAGATTAGTATGTTGATGATCTCAAAGCTAACAGGCTAAAGCTAATTTAGATTTTTTTTTTTTCTGAAGCTGATGCTTTACTATTGTCCCTGCAGACAAAGACTGGATTTGATGAGAGAAATGTACGACCGGGCAGCAGAGGTACCCAGTACGACAGTTGAGGACTGTGATCACATGATGTCCGGTGGTGACCCTTTCTATGACCGCTTTCCATGGTTCCGACTGGTTGGTCGGTAAGTAATCAATAAGTCAAGCACAATAGAGATTGCCGTGCAACTCTAAAGTGTCGAGTGGATGTTGGTTTTTCCACTGTACAAGACTGGAACCTGCCTATGATTTGCATTATTCCTTCCCCTTTGAGTGGAATGGCAAGCTATTTGCAGGCTTCGTTCATTGAGCAACTTTGCACTGATATTTCAAAATTCAATCAATCCATATGCTACACCTAAGCTTGAACACTCCTTACCAAACACACTAGATCATTAGCCGAACACAGATTTGGAGACTCATGGCTGGGTTTATGCTGGCATACAATAATGCCTTACATGTGAGCAAGTGTGTGCACGTGTGTTGTACTAACCCAGTTCCCGTGTCTCCGGCTGCACCAGCACTCCTATTCTCAACACGTGCATGAGCGAGCGCATGAGTGACCTTACCCTCTCCCCCACCCTCTCCGACCCCGACTCTGACATAACCGAGCTTGCCGATGAGCGGCATTATGGGAAGGTGGAGGATGAGGAGTTGGAGGACCTGGATGATGAGATCTTTTTGGAGGACCCTGGCTCAGAGCTTGGGAGAGAGGAGGAGGAGGATGGTGTGGGGGAGCACTGCCCAGGTGTCAGCGATGGCCAGGACCCCTTTTACGACCGCTGGCCTCTGTTCAGTTTAGTGGGAAGGTTGGTGAGGTTTCAGGAGCATGCTGTCAGAGGAAACTAGCTCTTTCACACTGAGACACAGAAAACACAAACAGGGTCTGTTACAAGAATTTCCTACCAGGGCATCAAACACATGAACAGCACCAGCAAGGTTCACAATATCTATTGCCAAGATTGATTAAATAAATAACAAAGACATTATGTCAACAATTTACGTTTACATTTATTAATAAAAATAGTAAAAATCAATAACAATTCACAGATCACTAGATTACATGATTTGAGTTTGAAAGTGGAAAACTGTTGGCCTGATCTAAAGGAAGTTTTATACATGTCTTGGACAATAACCCTTTTACCTTTTTCCTATGCATTGATATTCTAATATTGTGGCATACAGTGAAATAGGCCATTTCAGTGGGATTTGAAGTGTTCAGTAACTGAATGAGAGGAAACCGAACAAAAGGAATAGCAAAGTGAAGATACTTTCTGTGAAAATCGCAGTAGACTACTGGTGACAGATCCCTAATGGATGTTTATCGTTACAAGGGGCAACTTTTTCGCGTTCGAAGTAACAGTACTTAATAAATATGCAAGTATTTTAAATGGCAATCACATCAATTCCACCTTGTTTTGAAAGCTACTGCACTGAATGGCAGCGTGATACATTTTTGTCCGCTCTTTTCTGAAATGAAATTGGCATTCTCGTCATTGCTTCTGTGATCGATATAAATCAGCAGATTGTTATTTCTGAAGAGCTAACAGTGCTCAAGATGAAAGAGCTGGTTTCGACTACAGCAGTTTCAATCAGGCATGCCAGAGCTAAAATTTGTATCAGGGTTTTGGATTGGCTCTCACACTCTCACTTCCTTGCACACATGCAACATGCAAGATTTGTGACGTGGGTTGCGTTTGATTTCTCTTTTAAGTTGATGGCGATCAAATTCATGTATGTTAATGTCATTTCAGTTTTTTGCTTTCCAGTTTGCATTTGGCCCAACAAGCCACATTTTCTTTATCTGAGCATGCTATATTTGCGCCTCACCAATCTAGTTGTAAGCTCCTCCCCTCTGGCCACGCCTCCTGCGACTCTTGACCCCTGCCTGTCGAGCTTTGTCCAGCGATACATTAGGATCAAGAGGGCAAATCTGAAGTGAATTATTGAATTTGTTGGCCAATCCGACACCAAACGTGACTGCATACAATGTCAGGGATTTCATAGACACATAATCGTGTCATTGAATTATAGTTAATCCTTCAATCAGTTACTGAAACATCAGTAAAATCTAGATGTGTGACAATGTTAATCTTCACCTGTGAGTACGACTTGACAATTTAGACAATCAATCAGTCAAAAGTTATAGTGTAAAGTAGCTTGTGGTGCAGTTCTCCTCTATATGCATGTTCTTGAAACACTTCACCAACCCCCACAGAGACCCTTGCTATCACCCCTTTCTGTATCATTTTATGAGAATAGGGGCTATAATAAAGTATTCACATATGAACCGCAGACCGACAGGGCACTTTTTAGCTTTCGCTGGAGCAGCTTCTTGTTTGGTTGCTTTTTTTGTGTCTGATGTTGTGTTGTCTAGTGGCAGTGTGGCTGAGTTGATCTTCACTTACATTCTTTTTCCATTCATTTTAACTCTCTTTCTATTTTCTTTTCACCCCATCAACTGTCTCAAAACCCTCTTCTTTCTTCTCCTCTCCTCCTTTTTCCCATCATCCTCTACTATTTCTCTCATAGGGCATTTGTGTATCTGAGTAATCTGCTGTACCCTGTGCCATTAGTGCACCGTGTGGCCATTGTAAGTGAGAAAGGCGAGGTCAAGGGGTTCCTCCGAGTAGCAGTACAAGCCATATCAGGTAAGATCATCTTCATGATCCTTTGACAAATCTATTTTGATCAGATTCCATTTTTAAATTTTAATTTAAACAAAATTTTTTAATTCAATTTTTTTTTTTTTTGTAAAGTAGTACAACAAGGCTCAGTATTCAGACCGATTTTGTTTTCTTATTTCACTGGATATTTCCTTGTGTTTTATGAATACAGGATATTGTTTTGTTTTTTTGTTTTGTTTCTCATAATTTGTTGCCTCTGGTCCTAATTAAGTTTAGATATGTTTTGCATCTTACCAACATTATATACAAAATATGAATAAATATTAAAATGTTGCTAAAATACAATCATGTACAGACTCATTGCATGGCATCGCTAAGTTTTCTGGTCCCTGTATACAGATCAGCCCTCCAAGCTCTTGGCCCCCTTTACTCAGTCCCTACTAGCGAGCCCCCTGTACAGATTAAATGTTCAGCCATAATCTTTTATTTCTTGCCACAGCTGACGAAGAAGCTCCTGATTATGGCTCCGGTGTGAGACAATCAGGAACTGCTAAGATTTCATTTGAGGATCAACAATTTGAGAAGGTTGGTTGTGTCACTCATTTTATGTAACTGTTCATTCTCACAATTATTATCTCAATATTTGAGTAAGGCCATCAAAAGTAAAACCATCAACCTTTTCTCTCTGCTCAGTTCCAGACAGAAACTTGCACCGCTGGGACAAACACATCTCAAGAGGAGCTGCGCATCGTAGAAGGAGAAGGACAAAACTCCGAGATCAGTGCTGATGAGGTCAACAACAACACCTGTGCAGGTAAAAAGGGGGAAAAAATCATATTAATTTATTGATTAGAGATTGATATCAATTTTGCACAATGTATTATGATTCATTTATGCATGCCTCAACATTAAATAAAATGCCCAATAATCATGCTGTGATAATTCACTGCTAAACTAGTGGAATATTGTGTGTAAATAGTGACTTGTCTTGCACAAAATAAGAGTCAACAAGAAGTGTTTGTATTCTAATCTGATCTGTTTTCTCATGCATTGCTTCATCTAGCCTCTCCTGATGTTCCTAACAGTCCTCTGAAGGGCTTTCTGGAATGTCCTCTTGATGTGGCTCAGGAAAAATCATTTCAGCACTTAAAAATCGGCAGCAACTTCACCTTTAGGGTCACAGTGCTTCAGGCCTCCAGCATCTCTGCTGAGTATGCAGATATCTTCTGCCAGTTCAAGTGAGTACTTGTATTCCAAGTAATTTGTGTACATTCATAAGATTTATCAGGGCTTTCCATAATAAAACTGTGCTGCACATTGTTGTAGCTGACTGATTATATGGTTAGAAAGGCAAACACTTATGCAGATTATGCATGTTTATGCCACAGTGTTTTAGACAAAGGCTTTTAAAAAATAAATTAAATAAATGAACATGCTGCTTAATTTTTAAATCTATGTTTTTTTGAAAGTTGCCACTCGAAAATAATGTTCCCTCTCAGTTTGAATGGGATTGGCGCTTCTGCAGACACTGATCCAAGAAAATTGCAAGACATCTGATGCAATCTTGTCTTTTTCCAGCTTTATTCATAGGCATGACGAGGCATTTTCCACTGAGCCATTAAAGAATACCGGCCGAGGGCCTCCTCTGGGATTCTACCATGTACAAAATGTAATCACAACCTTTGTGCCATCAAGTAATTCAGCCATATTTCAGGTTTAAGAAATTAATCAAACATAAATGATTTATGTGTGGTTTGCTACTATTGCAGATAACCGTAGAGGTCACCAAGTCTTTTGTGGAATACATCAAGGGTCAGCCAATCGTTTTTGAGGTATTTGGCCACTTCCAGAAACAGCCCTTCCCTCCTCTCTGTAAGGACTTGATAAGGTGAACAATTTTTTTTTTTCGATTATTATTATTTATTTATTTTTATCACCTAAAATGTCAACTAAAATCTTCCCTCCTTGCAGTTCATTACGTCCAACAAGAAGGCAGTTCCCTAGGGTCATGCCTCTGTCAAAGCCAGGTGAGTTGATATTTTGACTAATTTCTTGACTATTTCTTGTGGTCTGTCTGTGTCTGAGCTCTGCCTCTGTCTCCCCACAGTGCCTGCCACAAAACTGAGCACACTCACACGCTCCACTGCTGGCCCCTGTCACTGCAAATATGACCTTATGGCATTCTTTGAGATCTGTGAGCTGGAGGCCAACGGGGAGTGAGTATATGATAAACTCATGACTTGTAGGATATCAGTGCTTAGTAAGTTACTCATTGAAGTCTGTATGTATGGTAGGTTATTCATATGTAATGTAACCCTTGTACTTGTTTGTGTATTTTTTTTTTAGCTATATCCCAGCTGTTGTTGATCACAGGGGTGGAATGCCCTGCCATGGTACATTCCTGTTGCACCAGGTAAACATGAATTCATCTTTCTGTCCGTAACAACTCAGTGAATGGTAATACAGATGATAACAGATTATTTATTATGTACACTACCGTTCAAAAGTTTGCTGTTGTTAAGATTGTTTTTTCAAATATTTTTTTAAAATAACTTCATCAAAGCTGCATTTATTTGACCAAAATGAATAAAAAACAGCAGTAATATTGTAATACTATTACAATTTACTGAATATATACTGTATATATGAAGATATTTATTCATGTGATGCTAAAGCTGAATTTTCTTCAGTGTCACATGATCCTTCTGAAATCATTCTAATATGCCGTTTTGGATAATATTTAATATTATCAATGTTAAAGACATTATCAATTTTAGTGCAGCTTAAATATTTATGTGGAAATGGTGATGCACTTGTTTCAAGATTCTGAATTATTTAAATTTATTTAAAATAGAAATACATCCTGAATACTGTACATCCTTGCTGAATCCTTGTATTAGTTTCAGTCCAAAGAAAAAAATCTTACAGACCTCAAAGGTTTGAACAATTGTATAGTTTGAAATTGAAATGAGAGATTTGCGATTGACACATTTTCCACAGGGCATCCAAAGGAGAATTACAGTCACTATTGCCCAGGAAACCGGCAATGATTTTGAGTGGAAGGAGGTTAAAGAGCTCGTCATAGGTTAGAAAATGCTTTTTTATCTCTTAAAAAATAATTTATGAGAATTTCTGGCTTCCATCGCATTAAACGCCAGCTTGCATTGAGGACAAGTGAAGATGTTATTATGGCGAATGTTCAGGCAGAGTTTCAGATGACTCAGCATCACATCTGTTCTTTTTTTAGGGCGCATCCGTAACACACCCGAGGCAGATGAGACTATCATTGACCCCAACATCCTGTCCCTCAACATCCTGTCTTCAAGCTACATACGACCATCTTATGATGACAGGTATACCACTGATATGTAAAGTGAGATCCAGTACCAAATAATATTTAGCAATGTTAGCAATATAAAAATACTTTTTAAATAACTAATTTAAGTGTTAACAACACTAAAACCTCATAACATTAAATTAATTATATTGTTTTATATTTTAATGTAATGATTATATATATGTATATAAATTCATTTATAACAAAATTGTAATTCACTAACATTTTAATGCAATGTTTCCTGTCAGAGTGTCATTGGGAATTGACCATAGGTATGCTTTTTTACCCTTCAGTATAAAGTACAGTTGTTGTTTTTATTGCAACCCTTCAAAATTGTTCAAATAAGGAAAAAATGTAAGCACTGATTTAATTCACTAAGCTGTTTCTTACTTTTCAGGACATTTTATCGCTTTGAGGTAGCATGGGATAGCTCCATGCACAACTCCCTTCTGCTGAACCGTGTCACTCCATATGGAGAGAAAATTTACATCACCCTCTCTGCCTATCTTGAGGTGAGGAAAACTCTTTTTCCACAATAAAGTTATCAAATTAAGACAAACAATGTGGGATAATTTGGAACTCATCAAAACTAATATAAACACAATCACAAGTATAGCTTTTTTTCATTTTAATAGTAAATTCAAACGTGTGCCTGTTTGCTATAATAGTTTTTGCTATAATTTTAGATGGAGAACTGCACTCAGCCCACTGTCATCACAAAGGATTTTTGCATGGTGTTCTACTCCAGAGACGCTAAACTTCCTGCGTCTCGCTCCATTCGAAACCTCTTCAGCACTGGTGCCTTTAGGCCGTCTGAGAGGTGAGGAAAGTTTGCTTGCCTCTTTCTGCAGTCAAATAAACTGGTCTTAAATCAACCAATGCACCATTTCGAAGCTTTAATGCTCAAGACTTGATATTTGGAAATTAAATGTTTTGTTAAACACTACGGTGGTGTTTTGTGTCTCAGTAACCGTGTGACTGGAGTGTACGAATTAAGCCTCTGCCATTTGGCTGACATTGGAAGTCCTGGTAAGTTATCGTGTACAAATTCAGACAAATAACCTAATTATTAAATTAGGTTATTTGTTTATATTGGTTATATTGGTTTGCTTATTCTCATGTATTTGTAGATTTAACACAGTTGTTTGATTTATTTTGTTGTTCCACTTTGACCACGATGGTGCAGGTATGCAAAGGCGGCGCAGACGGGTGCTGGACACCTCAGTGGCGTATGTGCGTGGAGAGGAGAACCTTGCGGGTTGGAGGCCCCGCAGTGATAGCCTCATCCTGGACCACCAGTGGGAGCTGGAAAAACTTAGTCTCCTACAAGAGGTACAATATATTCCTATATCCCTGTATTTAAAGGGACACTCCACCCATTTTTATTAAGCTTTCCATTGTTAGAAACCCAGTTATACTATTGAATGGTCGTGCAACACTCTCTAATTTTCCCCTGAGATTGTTCTGTGGTGAAAGCCGAGTAGTAACTTTAGGGGTTACCGTAATCCTCTTTTTCTGAATCCGATGTCTGGATTCAGCTTTTGCTTTCTGCAGTCGCCATTCATTGTTTACATGCACAGCTTCTGTTTAAATTTAACAAATCGATTGAATCCCAAACATTTTGGGCGATCTCGAAACACATTTTCGGGCAGACTCATCACGGAGACTCACTAGACTAGCCTAGACTTGTTGTTTAACTACTGTGCTGTTACTGGTAGGCGTGGCCTCCTAGGGCAACGAAGCAAATGCATTCTGGGAGTTGTTGTCTTTCATCCACATAAGCCAAAAATACATTTTCTGGCTTTTCTCAGTCTAGAAAGCTCCAAATTCAAAAATAATTTCACATTTCTTCTACATGAATTACCCATTTTAAATACACATTCATCTTTCCAGAGGTGGAATGACCCTTTAGATATATTTATTTTACACAAGGGCTTTTAATCTGGGCTATAATCTGACTTTTGTTTTCAGTTAAGTGCATGACTCTGAGGTGTGTGTTTGTTTACAGGTGGAGAAGACCAGGCATTACCTTCTGCTGAGAGAGAAGCTAGAAGCATCTCTGCTGCTGGGACAGGACTCTTTCTGTGGAAAAGACCTCATGGACTCACCTAAGGCCTCCAGCCCCCTGATCAGCCCGGTAGTCAGTCTGGGTCTGGACAGTCCCAACGAGAGGCAAAGGGAGCTGGCTGCCAAGGTGATCGTCTGCAACTACATACCTACATAATGTCACACTAATAGCCTATTCCCACCAAATTAAAGTATAAAATATTTGCCAATAATGTTTTTGCATAAAAACAACTCGGCAAACTAATTTTCCTAATTACTTTTATTTTCAGTAAAATATCATCCCACAAACCAGATACATTTATTTGAGGAGCAAAATTGGATAGATGGTTGGATGGATGGATAGATAGATATGTTTTTATTACTGTTATATTTATTTTTCCTGTTTTTTTTTTCTCTCTTCAGTGTGTGCGACTGCTCATGCACACCTTCAACAGGCAGTACAGCCAGGTGAGCAGCAGTCTCAGTGAGAGCAAGGTGAGCATTTACTGCCCTAGTGTCCATACAGACCTTGCCTCATTCTCTCGCCCATGCAGACCAGATTTCTCTCTCCTTCTCCCTACATCTCTCTCAGTCTTATTTAGCAGTCCTTTTTTCATTTATAGAGAATTTGTGTTCACTTCACTTCTCTCATTTAGAGTAGAGCAGCATGATTAGTGTAATAGATGCTTTAAGGGTAAGCATGGCATTTTCTGGAATATGATGCATGAGAGGTGCTCTCTCTCTTTTTTTTAGCTGTCAGAGATGTCCGCATCCTTTTTAAGAGACGGTTCTTCTTCACCTCTGAGCACTCTGACTCCCTCATCCACCTGTCCATCACTGGTGGACAGTCACTATGGCAATCCAGATCTCAGGTCAGTGTATTTTCAACACAAGTCTCCTTCTAATATGATTAGGACTGGAATGTTGTTACTCTGTGAGTAAACTAAACCCAGCATGAATATACAGTTAACTGTAGTTCTCAAATTACAGTATATGACATGTCAGACAACTAGTCTAGTGTGGTTATGTTCATTCAGTCCGGATTAGTCGAGAATACGGTTGTGAGTCCTGAAAATGTGCAGGTGAACAGTTCGATTGTGGAATGGGGTTGTCACACTTATAAAAAAATAAAATAAAAAAAAACATGTATGAACTCAACTGTTACAAGCAGCGCTGCCGCACTAGCCATAAGCATCTTCTGTAGAGTTTTGTTTTGTGCGAAACAATACAGGGGATTAGGGATGAACATAAACAGTGTGTAATTGACGTGATTACTTCGACACGTTGTTCCAGCCCTAAATATGATCACAGTATGTCTAATACGAGTTCTCTGAGAATCAGATTTTGTACTGTCTGTTCACTCTCAAAACACCTTAAATACATTATTTTTAACAGGACTTTCTTGTTCTGTGTGATTTTACAGAGGAGCTGAGGCTAATTCGGGTGCCTCTAGCCCTGATCTCGACCCCTTCAGCCCCATAGAGCGAAAACACAGGAGCTGCGCCTTCATCCCGAACATCCAGGAGATTCGTGTCAGGTAGCATCCAAACAGTCTGAGAAATTTAACTTGACTTTTTTTGTCGCACACAGAACTGTAATTAATACAATTAGCATTTTGCTTGACTATGTTATCAAACAGCTAACGTTTCACAAACCATGTTTCCTATCGCCATACCAATATTTATTTGACATATATTATTTGAATATTTCACCATATTTCACTTCAAATGGTACTGATAACTGAAATGTTTGCTTATGTATGACATTGCATCCGCACCACTAGGTTTCCGTATAAAGTCCAAGACCACTGTTGAATTGTACAATGAAACATATGTTTATATGTAACTAAAATGTACTTTGGGGCTAACTGTTCTTTTAAAGTTGCACTAAAGACAATTAAATATATTTACAGCAAGTATAAAAACTCACTTTCCTTAACTTTTAACATCATGTATCATGTTATTGATTGCCCTGCAAATAGTTTGTTATAAATCTATTATAATTTTTCCTATGACTGCAGCCCAATTGTGTCAAAGAAAGGCTATCTACACTTTCTTGAGCCCCATACCAGTGGCTGGGTGAAGCGGTATATTGTGGTCCGACGGCCTTACGTCTACCTGTACCGCAGTGAGAGAGACTGCGTGGAGAGAGCCGTCATCAACCTGTCCTCTGCTCAGGTGGAGTACAGCGAAGATAAGCAGACCATGCTGAGGGTAAGATCCATTTATTCCTCATCTAATGTTAATATACACATAGTCTCAGCCTCAGACGTCACGCCCACGGAACGTTGGCTAAACGTCTGATGCATATGGTACACTTAACTGGAAACACTTCAGGAATGTCGAAGTCGTCTTCTGATTGGTTGAATTTTATCGGATTTCCGGGGGGCGTCAGTGTCGCGTTTATTTTCGGTCCGCCGGGAAACAAAGCGCAGAAGTGTGATTGCGGAAGAAAAACTGTTGTGTTTATGAGTGACAATGAGCATTAATCAAGATCAGCTAAACGTAGTTGTATGTCCCCTCCTATCAATTATGGAAGATCAAGTGAAGTACTTGATTGCGAAGGGGATATCAGCCGCGTTTGTGGGCAAACATGAAACAACAGACGCTGACATCGCAGCTGGCCGAGATTCAGTATTCATATATAGGGCGCACACTGGATTATAAGATGCATAAGATACTGCAGAGTCAAACGTTTGACTGCGAGTATTCAATGTGCGGCGGCTCGCTGACAGCTAACGTTACAGCTGGCTGTTTTGAATGAGACGAGCCGGTTACTGTGAACGGGGAGCGCTTTATGAACATAACTGTGACGCACGAGCAGCGCCGGGGACAGTGTGTCTGAGTGAGCGCTCGTGAGCACGTGATTTACACACATAACCTGATTTATACGAGGTTGAACTGGCCGTGTGACAAAGCGGGCATAAGATGGACATGACCGCGAGTTCGTGGGTGAATTTAATAACGCGGACCGTTGTTAACGAGCGCCTCCGGTGACTGCTGCTGACTGACTTGTTGCACGCCGGTCTGATGTTGTGGGGACATTTCCACGCCCCGAAACGTGACGCTGAATGAAACGAACTGTAATTGGTTGTTTGACATGTCGGTCAAACGGCCTTATGGGCGGGCCTTGGCCAAAGAAAGCTGCTATGAATTCCAGACCTTGGAGAAGGTCTGGCTACGCGAGACTAATATACACATGATTACTGAGGAAAGTGGTCAGCTATCTAAAGCTGTCTTGCTTTTTGTCAACTGATTTTGTTAACCCATGTGATGTTTTGTCTCCAGGCTCCTAACACTTTTTCAGTATGCACTGAGCATCGCAACATTCTCCTCCAAGCAGGCAATGACAAAGAGATGCATGACTGGTTGTACGCTTTCAACCCACTGCTGGCAGGAACTATCAGGTATTCAAAATTTATTCAGTGATTTCATTCCCTTTAGCACAGTTACAACAAATCATATAAAGTCTTCATTCAATATTGGTCTCTCTTTAATTTTATGTAACACTTTAAATCAGTGTTTCTCAACTAATTTTGCTTTAGGATTTTCAAGATTTTACACTGAACATTAGGTAGCAACCCAAAACAATAACACATTTCTTTATAAAGCAAAAAATAAACAAAAAATGCCCTTAACTTTTTCCCTGCCTTTGACGGAATTATCCATCGTTTGTGAGAAAATGTTTCCCAGATATTGATGGAATTTTCACTGTTATATGGTAGGGGGCGCTATTACGCATCTTCTGAAAGAGTACTGAATCTCCTGATCAAAACGCATGCGAAGAAGATGCAGAAACAAGCATTATATATATATATATAATAATATGATAATGTAAAAGAACATAATCATTAACATTAAAAAGCATGTAAATCAAACCTGCTTAATGTTACTGAATGAAATGTCGTCCCAGGACGAGGTATAGGACTGTGCAAGCATTAGGGGTGTTGATGTACTCGATCTACTCAATCTGTGTTTTGATCATCAATCTAAATCCGATCTGGGTATAGTCTTTAACAAAAACGTGATTTTTCTCAGCTTTTTGTTCAAAATGTTAGTTTTTTTTTATGAAACCTACCTTTCATAGGTTTTTTTTATGTCAAAACCTGTCTGTGTTGAACACATGTTGTTATTATTAAAAATGTTTTTCATTCATTGAAATACTGCTGAAATAAAATACAATTTTAACATTAGTTGAATATTTAGTTGAAAAAAACTTGAAATGTTGCATAGCAACTCAAAGCAATATTTAAAAAAAAATAAAACTATTAAAAACGACAAAAACACAAAACAGAATGGCTAAAACAAAAATTTGAGTCAAAAATTCAAAATTACTATAGTAGTTAAAGTGCCCCATTATGCTTTTTCAAATGTTATTTTCATGCAGTGTGTAATATATCTTGTGAATGTAAAAATTCTGCAAAGTTATAAAATAAAGTGCCAGACAAGTAAAGTTATTGTCTCCTAAATCTCCTAAAATCAAAATGATACGAAATGAGACGTTAGCAATTCTAGTCTCACTTCCTGTTACATAGCTACGTAACAATTAGCTATGTATTGTCTGCCTGCGAATAACATCTACTTTGACCCGCCCTCGAACACTGTAATTGTAAATGAGACTGGAAGAGTTTGGTTTGTGTTGTCGATGCGGTTTTCAGTGCTGTGAATCCACTTTGCATGCACTTCAAAAAGATGAGGACTCGCTCTGGAATTGATACTGAAAATGTATGTATCAATGTATGTATGTATCTCTATGTATCAAGCACTGAGGAAGCCTTCAGAGCTGAAATTCAAATGTGGTAATAAGAGTTTAATTTCCAACATTCACTGTAAACGGTAGACCAATCACAACAGACTGAGCCGTCTGGCCAATCAGAGCAGAGTAGGCTCTCAGAAATTATGGGTTTAAAGAGACTGAATCTTTGAACAAACCGTTTTTTTACCTTTGATAAATGTTAACTTATTGTCAGAGACCTCCAAGAACCTCAAAAATAGCATTATAGAGGCACTTTAAATAATACTAAACTAACACTGCTGTATTGCCATCTGCTTAATTCAACCTAGACAGATGAATTTGCACCAAAATGGCATAGTGACATTTAACAGTTAGTTTATGTCAAAACAGACCTGACCCATTTTTGGGTTGCAGCACAGCAGTTGAGAACCACTGCTCTAAGTAGCTGCTCTATGATATCGCTGAATATTTCCTTATCTCTCTCTCTCTACCCCACAGGTCTAAGCTTTCCAGAAGAAAATCAGGACAGATGAGGATGTGAAATCATTTTTTTCCCTCTGGCTCAAACCATAAAAAGGCCTAAAAGGCCTTAGTGATGTAATTAGGTCATGTGATCATAAGTGCCCTGTCCCCATGTCATCACAGCTGCCTCTTGCCTGCCCGTCCCAGCATTCCCCTCAGTCTGTCCATGCCAACCATAGACTGCGGGCTTCACAGAATGTGTGTTGATGTGTGTCTCAGGCCCTATTTAGTGTACATTTAAGCACTTCCCGCTAACATACAGTAGCTAAAAGCTAGAATGGCAAAACGACATCATAGACACTGCCCTACTCTTAACTGCATTCGTTCATTTGTAAATTCGACTCGATGCTCTGTTTCTGTATGTGCTGCTTCAGAGTAATGTCAAGTGCTTTTACCTGGGCTTCAGTAGTTGCCTGATCATTCTGCTGCGATCATTGTGCTTTTCGAAGAGATTCAGAGCTTATTTTGAAGTCGCGGATGATAGAAGATTTGAGAATTGAGATGGATTTTAGACTAAAAGAAGTAATTGTCTGTTATTTTCGACAAAAATCGGCATCGCAATAGTACAAAAACGTTTAGTTTGTGTTTTGCTTTGATCTGTAATGTCTTTTTTTACATTACATCTTTACGTTTACTTATCTATTAAGCATTGTATGTTTTATAAACATAATTTATTTGTAGTGTGCTACAACAAAAAATTCACCTTGCACTTTTGATAATGAGTTAGGTTCGTTTTGGTTCATTTGCACTAGAGCTCTGCTGCTAAGAGAATCAGCTTCTTTAATGTGGGCTTTTCAACAGCTTATTTTTACGCACAAAATTAGAGAGCGGTGTTGCTAAATTTCCTTTAACTGATGCACTTAATGCAAATGCATCAGTGCACATTATAACACAAATTTCTAATAATATTATGCGGGAGGTTTATGTTCAGAAACACGACCTCTTTTGTAGCTGTTTTGTTTAGGTCATCCCAGCCTTACGTCTTATTATAGAATATCTGTATTCAAACCTATTACATGGTGTTTTCCTAGGGAGGTGACATCTTGTAAGAGAAGATCCAGTTTTAGTGTTAGAACATAAAACAGAAAGTCTATAAACTCCCCAATATAGAGAACGTTATATTTAGCTCAATGGTAGAAATATATCTGTTATATTGTTGGTTTTTTGCTCCACCCTTTTTACGATGACCATATGCGTATACTAAGTATTGAAAAGCCGTGTTTCTTGTCATGGCAACTACATCTTATAGAGGTATAACCAGAGGCCGTTGTATGCTGATGAACTCAGAAATCTCTTGTTTGGTTTGGGCTCATGCTATTGGTCAGTCAGCCATTTAGTATGTTGCTTTAGTATGTTGGATTGATGTTTTGTGCAATGGGTCAGCCAACCCAAAGAGCACAAAATGAAGCTGCTGTGAATGTATCTGAGAGATTTGAGCTGGTCTTTACCTCTCAAAATGGTTTCTTCATAAGGATAAGTTTAAGTATGCCTTTATAGACTCTTACATTATGGATCTGAAGTGTAAATGAGGGATAGATGATTAAGTTTTGGACAATATGTTGACAGTCATACCTCCCAGTGCCCTGCCTTTTTTTTTTTTTACCCATTCCTGTCTTTGATTATGCTATGTATATGATGGCATGCTGTACATATTTATTCAGCTTCTAAATGAAATGTATCAAATGTATTCCATTTACCTCCATACAGTATAAGAGTAGCATTTACATAAAAATAATTGATTCAGTCGTATTATTTTACCGTTTGAAGGATCACTGTCGTCTATGAGCATTTAGTGTCCGCATTTACATGATGCCCTGAAGATGAAGCATTCAACAGGACTTTGTCAGCATACATACTATATATTGCAGATAAACAAGATTGTTAGGGTTTGTAGTTGATGTGTCTCTCTTTCACTCTCAATGGAACCACATCTTTCTGAACATCATTTTGAATAAACATTTTTCATCATTCATCCAAATATTCCAAACTTAAAAAAGAGAAACTCAATATAATTAAGTGTAGCTACTGTAATTGCTTCAATATTTGTTGATTTTCTCTGTATATAAACCCAACTGTGGTCTAGCACACGGCTGATAACCACTTTATACCATAATGAATGGACTGTAGTGTACTCAGTGCTCAACTTCTTTGAGTGTTGGACCTGTGTCTTCTAATGTCTGTGGACACTTAACACTTTGTCTGGTGTGAAATAAATGTGAAATATGCGCAACGTTACAAGAGTTTGGACTTTCTTATTTGTCTAGATGCAGAGTAAACTTTTTTTTACTATAAAGGTCCAAATATAAAACTCGATTGAAAGTATTGCCTTGTTGCTTTATCAGGCAATGACTTTGTAGGGAGCATTTGGGCACAAATGTACCTCACAAAACTGATTTCGGACAGGCTCCTAATTCAGCATAACGGTTTAATGATCTACTACAACAAAATAGAGTGAGCTTTGGTTGTAACTAAGTGAATATTTAATTACTTCAATGGTTATTTATCACTAGAAAGACATCAGAAGTGTTTAAAAACACATTTACTCTCAAACTGACCACCAACAGTAACTTTCAGACTCAACAGTCACTGTGGGATATTATAAGTAGTGAATGATACATCTATGCTGACTTCAAAAATCGATCTGATGAAGGTATCAGGAAAAGGGAAGTCACTGTAAAGAGTGATCCGTTGACTTAATTTTAAAAAATGAGGAAACCCGTCGCCATAAAATCAAGTAAATACACTTCATGCATAATAGAAAAATATAAGTTATGTGGAATTGTCAAGTACACTGTAAAAAATATTGTTGGTTTAACTTAAAAAAGTAAGTAACCTGGTTGCCTTAATTTTAAGTTCATTGAAATGGAAAAAGTGAGTTAATACAATGAAGGAGAATGATATAATCATCAGAAACTCAAAATTATATGTTATCTGAACTATATAAATTATTTAAGTTGATTTGACAAAAGAAAAAATGTTGTAATTACTAATAATGAAAAGATTTTTTTTACAGTGTAATTTTAGGGCAATGGGTTTACTCACTTTTTTAAGTTAAATCAACTGATTACTTTTTACAGTGTAGTATGGGAAACGGGACTGTAAAATAAATAGCTACCCTATTTTTTAATCTAATACGTATTGTAATTAATGGAGTTATTATGAGTTGACGTACATTTCAGGCATCTTCGCTTTTCATTCGATTTGAATTCAAAGTGTTGCTATTGGGTGATAAAATATGTATACAATTCGTAGAATAACTTTCTATAAGTTTTACTTTCTAAGTTTTCAGATGGGATTCTGCTTTGCTTGTCATCTAGATTATCTAGATATCATCTAGATAGTCGCAGTGGTTAACTTCCCCTTTGAATAATTTTAAATGTGCAATGAAAACTAAATTACTAAATATATTTCCCTTAATAACACACTGGATGATGTTTCATGCTAAACGTATTTGTTCTTAAGCAGAGCATCTCCCATCATCCTACTTTGTTATTGTATCTGAGAATATAAGCAGATATAAATGTTCAAATGAGGGCTCTCGTTACATTTCTGGCTCAGCTCTATCCACCCCCTTCATCTCTCCCATGGACATCTGTCAGCAAGCTCAGGTATCATTTTAGAGAGGGAGCGAGAGAGATAGTTGGGTACAGCCCAAGGACCCCTGCCACTTTTGTTTCGACTTGCCGATGTCTAGCATGGTGCTCCACAGGGCCATTCAGGCAGCTCGCGAGGGGGATGTGGAGGCTCTGAGGGCCCTGCATGTGTCCGGATGCCTCAGTCCAGCCATCACAGACACCCAGGGAGCTTCACCCGTCCACCACGCCGCCCGCTGCGGGCAACTGGGCTGCCTGGAGTTTCTGGTAAACGAAGCTGGTTTCCCCTGCCACACCTGCACGAAAAATGGAGCTACGGCCGCCCATGATGCTGCCGCCACCGGGCATGTGCGGGAGCTGCAGTGGCTGCTGAGATGGGAGAAGTGTGGGATTGAGGTGAGTGCCATGATATATTGAGGGAAAAATTACATTTGACAGCGGGATTGATGGCGTTCTTGAGGATAGGCTGCTGTGTCAGTTTCCTTTACTGTCAATTACACAGGTCATTGATGATGGATGTACAATGAAAGCAAAGAAGCACCTCTTTTATTAATATTACTGCTGGTATAATGGCGTATGAGTGTATTGAAAGGTCATTGTGATGTGCTACTTACTGTGCCCATAATTCAGAACTCTTCACACTGGGTATTGGATGCTGACGCCGGTCTTTGTTTTGGCCCACAGGACCGTGATGGCGAGGGAGCGACGGGCCTGCACCTGGCTGCCAGGTTTGGCCATGCGGAGGCAGTACAGTGGCTGTTGTTTGAGGGAGGCAGTACAGAGGCACAGACGAATTGTGGAGCTCGACCTGTCCATTACGCTGCAGCCAGTGGAGATCTCACCTCTCTCAAACTGCTCATGTCCAGCTCCCCACGGTGAGGCTCACTGACTGTTACACCATCCCTGGCTGGCCTTCCCTTAATTCACCTTTCAGTACAGTATACTTTGAAGATCAAGCTTGTCAGAAGCTTCTTGCAATTTAAAACTGGCAGATTGGTCTTTTGAAAATGTAGTTGAGTACAAACTACCAACAAAAGGTGTTTCAACTACATTGAAGCAATTCTGTAATCGTTTAATCGTTTACACACACTTATTTCGGATGCGATTAATCGCGATTAATCGTTAATTTGAATGAATCAGAAATTCGAATGCCACACATATGAGAATGCTAAAAAACCCTACAAGAAAAAAAGGCATTCTTTGGTAAACATAGTCATACTTATGAGATAAAATGTCAAAATTGTGACATACTAACCCCCGGTTTCACAGACAAGGCTTAAGACTAAAATGCATGTTTGAGCTGTTTTAACATATCTTAAAATATTGTTTTGTCTCAAGATTCAGTAATGTTTTAAAATGCATGTTTATAAAAGCTATGTCCTAATTGAACTAAGGCCTAATCCTGGCTCAATCTAAGCCCTGTCTGTGAAACTAGGCCTAAATCAATTATGAGTCAAAATTATTAAATAAAAACAATGACAAAAAGTGAAAATTATTAGATAAACGGTCATAAAAATGTCAAATGTTAATCTCATAATTATGTCAATATGTTGAATTTTTTTTTTATCTCATAATTGGGCAAAACTATGAGTCATCATGCTTAAATACACATAAAGGCAGCAGTTTAGAGTCAAGTTGCCATTTCTTGGGAGCTGTTACTCATCAGGGAGGGAGGCTGGGAAAAGGTCATCCGACACATGTCAAACCCACCATCTGGGCTCTGTCTATAATATATGAGGAGCCTCTTACCTGCCACATGACGCCACCTGTGTGCTTACTGTACATCTGCACAACCACCAACTTCTACTTAATGATGCAATAGAGCGTATACCTCTAAACAGCTAAGTTTACATGCAACCAAATAATATGTATGTGAGCTCTGAATGAAATTTCGATCGGATTGCACCTGAATAATCAGATCAATTAAGCAAGTAAACGATCGAATCTGATTATTTTCTCAGGTTCAAAAATATCTTTCACATACTGTATGCAGCGTGCTATGATGCGTATATTTACATACGTTTTACGTCTTAGGTGAATGGTCAGTGAAGGAGACTAAATATGTGCTTAAATTTGAAAAATATATTTTTCTGATAAACAATTATGCTCTTTTTGAACACAGTGACTGGGCATTTTGTTTGGAATTAGGCCTACATGCAATACACGTGTAAGCCAATATGTGAATTGGATTGTAAAAAATGATGGCAGGGAAAGAGTTAAGCAAAGATTTATATTATGCTGTTAGTCCAAATGTATTTGTGCAGGTGTGTGGACTGCCAGACCGGTACTGGGGCCACTCCGCTGTATCTAGCCTGTCAGGAGGGGCATCTGCATGTGGTTGAATACCTGGTGAAGGACTGTGGTGCAAATGTCCATGTGCAGGCCAAAGATGGCATGAGTGTGTTGCATGCAGCTGCCCACATGGGACACTATGCTTTGGTGGTCTGGCTGGTGAGTTACAGCTGCTTCAGTCACTTTGGCATGATTTCCCTCAGGTTTTATTGAATTTGAGAGTTGTGTAACCGACTCTGTCTCTGATATGTTTCTTTAGGCCTCCTTCACGGATCTGGATCTCTCCTGTCAGGACAAGGATGGAGCCACTGCACTGCACTTCGCCGCTAGCGAGGGTCACCATCGCATCATGGAGCGTCTCTTACTGATGGGAGCAAAAGTGCTGAAAGACCTCTGGGGTGGGACCCCCCTTCACGATGCGGCGGAGAATGGAGAACTTGAGGTGTCTGTCAATGAATTCAGTTCCAATCACAAATCCTTATCGTGACAACTTGGATTACACAGTTTAAGTAGTGTTTGAAGGTTTTGAATGACAGCTGTAATCTCTTGTTCCCTCAGTGCTGCCGAGTGCTGCTGAACAATCACATCAGTCCACTGGAGAGAGATTCGGATGGGTTTACTGCAGTGGACCTGGCTGAATATAATGGCTATCATGATTGTGCCAACTTCCTCCGTGATGCAGATGCTCATGTAAGATAATTAGTACTTTCCTCAGCACAATTTCAAGCTAATTTTTGTATGATTTTTGTTCATTTTGAATGTCCATTTTCATACAGTTTATTCCGTATACACTTAATATTTGGGGGTCAGTGAGATAAAAAAAAACATTTTTATTCAGCCAAGGACATATTAAATTGATCAAAAGTGACAGTTAAAACCTTTATAATGTTCCAGCAGATTTCTATTTAAAATAAATGCTGTTCAGAAATCTATTATTCAAACAATCATGAAAAAATGTATCACGACATCTACAAAATTATTAAGCAGCACTGATAATAATGAAAAAAGTTTCTTGAGCATCAAATCAGCAAATCATCATTATTTCTGAACGATCATGTGACACTGAAGACTGGAGTAATGATGCTGAAAATTCAGATTTGCCATCACAGGAGTACATTTAATTTTAAAATATCTTAAAAATTGTAATAATATTTCACAATATTACTGTTGATCAAATCAATGCAGAATAAAACCCAAACTGTAGTTAAGGTAAACATGGATAATGTGTCATTCCACACTTGGATAAAAAAAAAATCCTCATTTAATTATAATACTTAAGTATACCAATTAATTACATTTACTCAAGTGCTTTACACCCATTAATATTGCAAACATCGACAGCTGAGGGTC